CGGAATAATCAACCTCTGCATAAACAAATGATGTTTAATAAAGTGTATTGCTATTTTATCGCATTGCTTTATTACTGAGTGATTGATGCAATGCTTAAACGTGCATTAAACACAACACTCATCAGTTTACATGTACAGTCTACATGCCAAACATACAATTGAAGTCAGAATTATTATCCCCCCCTTTGAATTTTTTTCTCTTTTTTTTTAATATTTTACAAATAATGTTTAACAGAGCAAGGAAATGTTCACAGTATGTCTGATAATATTCTTTCTTCCGGAGAAAGGCTTATTTGTTTTATTTGACCTAGAATAAAAGCAGTTTTAAATGTTTTAAACACGATTTTAAGGACAAAATTATTAGCCTCTTTAAGCAATTTTTTTCGATAGTCTAGAACAATCCATCATTATCCAATTACTTGCATAATTACCCTAACCTGCCTAGTTAACCTAATTAACCTAGTTAAGCCTCTAAATGTCACTTTAAGCTGTATAGAAGTGTCTTTAAATATATCTAGTCAAATATTATGTACTGTCATCATGGCAAAGATAAAGTAAATCAGTTATTAGAGATGAGTTATTAAAACTATTATGTTTAAAAATGTGTTGAAAAAAATCTGCTCTCCATTAAACCGAAAATGGGGAAAAAAGAAATAGGGGGACTAATAATTCAGGGTGGCTAATAATTCTGACTTCAACTATGTGTGGCAAATATCACAATAAACATAATCAATTAACAAAAGATACAATTAAACATACCTTATGTCCCTTCAGGGTGGAGCTGAATAATTCATTTTTAGCCAAGCATAGAAAACAATCTGGTACAGCTGGCTTTGGCTTTATTCAAAGGGACTTTGAATATCAGTTTGTGTTTTGGCTGCTCAACTTCTGATGACTCATGGCAGGTTTGGCTGATATAGAACGTGACCTAAAGTACATGAAAATGTTGAGGGCATGGTAATGAATATTCCTATGAGCAACATTACAGTCTGTATTGTGTTCTGTTTGGCCAGTTTTTTCACCAGGGTTTTACACTTGTAGAATTTACATGACAATGATAAAGCAATAGTGTTTGAGGCTCATTGTTTGGCCATCTCCATATATTGATCTCTTATTATTCGACTATGCCTAGGTATTTGCAATTTTTTTTTACAGTGCACCTTTAATGTTGGGGGTGGGGGGTGGGGGTGCAAAACAACAATAAACTTGTCACTCTGATATATATATATATATACACATAAGGTATGTGGATGCAAAAGTTCAGTGTGATCTTCTTGACCAATATTCTTGGCTGGCTCAAATAGATTGTATTGTGAAATATCTGCTAATCAGATTCTGAAATAGATGTAAGAATACATTTCATTTTTTGAAACATCTTAATTGTGATGATTATGGCTGATTTATGAGCAGTAATGGGTGTCACCATACAATGAAGATTAGATTAGAGCTGCAGGATTTACAACATGTTAATTCCTCGACTTCTCACAAAATACATGAAACTACATGGCTGTTTAACTGGAGGAAGATCTGGGAAAATGTTCTAGTTTTCTAAAGGAAAAACTGTTTATCTGTTACACACATTGTCAAATGATGTGAGAACTGATTATCATGGCCGTCTCCATAGACATCGGGGTGTATTTTACAAACCATAAATGTTTTGTTTTGCCAGTAAAGTAAGTTTTGATCCTTGACTTATTAATGTGCATGTCTTTCTCTGGCTCAGAGTTATTGTGCATGAACAGACGTAACTTGCTGATTAGGTAAGGCACTTGGCAGTACTGAAACACCATCTAGCTGTTAGTCAATCATAACACACTGGTACAACTAACCAATCACAACACATTTTGTTTCTTGGAAGGCGGAACTTTTGCAGTTACAATAATGTAAATTATGTATACAATAATATGTTTTTCGAAAATCCAACCATTGATTACACCCCCAAACAGAATCAAGACTTTGTAAAAGGGCATAATTGGACAGCTTTACTGTATTAACTGCTATAGTGGACTCATAGCCACAAAGTCACTTCAAAATAAGCAATAACATACAAAAATATTGTTATCAAATATGTTTTTCCTTTGTGGTCGAGTAATTCCTGCATCTGAGGGTTAAACAGGGCAAGCATCTTTTTGTCAGCACAAAGTTTGCAATTAACTGATGTAGTGCTGCTGTTTCCACTGGGCCAGGTGCCATCTGAGCTGAAGATGAAATACACTCTGCTTTTACTCATTTTAACAAGACTTGGACTCAAACACAAAACACAGGCTTCAGCAAATACCATAAAGTATTTTCAATATTTTCCTCTCCTCTCTCTGCAGAATATGATTTTGCCTGTACTGTAGTAAAAAACAGCAACTCTATATCAGCCTCTGAATTGAACACTGGCACACTCTGACCCTCTCTAACATAGATATAGACCTCATATGCTATTTGACACATCCACATTGAGACTCTGATTCATTTTGCACTCTCTCTAAATAGACTTTTATATGCTCTTTGATGCCCGAATGTAATTCGTGAGAGAGGTTTGGATCCCCTCCTCAAATTGTTGGCCGGGCTCCACAAGCTGTGGAGGACTTTTATGACTCAAAGGCAAGCCGAAGTAAATCAGAAACCTCGACCTGAACAGATGCAAATGGCAGATTTATGGTGACAACATACTGGGGATAAATATAAAAACTAATCAGGATGGGAGGGGGATTGTTATCATTCATATATAGACAAAAGGTTACGTGGGAAAATGTTAAATAGGACTGTAAAGGAATTAAAAACTGATTCATATATGAAAGTGTCAGTTAATGTTTTTTTTGTTATTTTACAGAACAGACATTTTTTAGCAACTTATATTTAAAAACTAAAAATATTTTGTTTCTATTTTAGCTTAAAGTGCAAAGTTTAAATGCAATTTCCACTACTAATAATTAATAAAAATAATAATAATTATAACCATAGTATTATTAGTGGTAATTACAGACTGTCACATCTCTTAAAAGGACAAGCACAGGTGTATGGGTAAAATACAGGGGTATTCACTAAGAAATGTAAACAAGTGAGTCTTAACTGAGAAATCTTGAAGTCAGAGGTAACATGCAGAGAAGTTTGTTCAGAAACACAGAAGTTTGTTTGTGCAGAAACACATGACACACACAAGCAGGGGATCCAGAAAGACAAACATCAGAACATACAGAGAAATACTGGAACTCAGGATATCGCTGGGAACCAGGAGAAGAATCGCTAGAGAGTAATCGCGTGGGAAAAGATCGGAAGATGGCCCTAGATGTGAGTATCCAGACTGCGGTGGCTGAGTGAAGGTGAGAGCTCTTTAGTCTTTAGTCTGTGTGCAAACCAAGCAAGCCAGTGGCGACAGTGACGAGGAACAGACTTTACCAATTGACAAATGTAAAGGTAAAAAACTCAAGAGAAACCAGGCTCAGTTGGGCACGGACATTTCTCTTCTGGCCAAACTTCTTGTGCAGAGCTGCAATCTAAGTGTTGCAGGCTGAAGAACACTGGACATTAATCGGGGAGAACTGCAGGTGTGAGTAGGTCGCCGGCGAGTGTTCAGGCTGGCCTACGGGATCAAAGTGAAGACTCGATTGTCACTGGGATCTTTCAGGAATCATTCTTAATGCTCTCCACCCCTCCATAACCACCACAGCATCTGCTCAGGATACGGCCTGGTCCAGGATTATGGATACCTCTAGAAGTCCTCTTTGGTTGGCATCATCTCTTCATATGTGTTGTCCTTGAGGTCCTCGATAATTGACATGATCACTTCCCAGCTCTTGGATCACATCAATGGCGTTGCATAATCTCTAAAGGCCTTGATATGAGCATCCCCATGTGGATGAATTAGGGAACAAATAAAATAATTTGTGGAGCTGCTGTTCATATTTAAACAAAATATTTAAAAATGAAGTGATGTAAATGAGCTGTTATATAAACACACACACAAATAAACATAAAAAGGATATGAGTGTTTCTAACATTAAAATAGGAGTAGTGTGTCCTACAGGTGGTTTGTCAAGCCCACTTACCTGTGTGGAGCACACTCATGCATCATGCCATAATGTGATGCATTGTTTATGCTTTACTAAAAAGATAGGTCTTTAATCTACTTTTGAACTGAGAGAGTCTGTCTGAGCAATTCTCTGAAAGGCTATTCCACAGTTTAGGAGCCATAAATGAGAACGCTCGACCTCCTTTAGTAGTCTTTTCTATTCTGGGAATTAACAGAAGCCCTGAGTTTTGAGATCTTAAATAAGAATTACAGTGTAAAAAAATTTAATTCTGCAATGAAGAGTATTACAACATTTATAATAATTGTTATTGTCGTTATTATTATTATAAATACATATCCTTAATTCAAATAATAATAATAATAATAATTATTTTCATATATTAGAAGTAGTGGTATTTTAGATAAATCAATATCCATAAATCAACACAAATTTTAACCTTATTTATGGATTTACTAAAATAAAAGGAATGTCATGCAAATTGTTTTCAAGTTTTATTACGTATGACTGTTGGAATGTGGGAAAATCCATGCCTATACTTACTTTTTTCTTTGGGATGAAACTTACACCAGTTTCCCTCAGTAATGTGCTTCGATATCATTTTCACATTAAAGTCCACACTAAGACATTTAAAAAGAAAATATGACAGAGATGTACTAGCAGCTGTAACTGTAGAAAGCAAAGTGATAATGCCTAGCAGAGGACTTCATGAAGGAATGAGAGAGGAATCACTGGTTTAAAATGTCAAAACTGATGGAAATCTAATGGTCGGGTATTTTAGCAGGAACTGAATTTGCAGAGATGAAAGTGGCTGTGAAAAAAGGGAATGTCTCCTCTGTTCCATTAAGAAAAGCTATGAAAAAAATAGATTTTCATTTTGGGAGCTGTCAAGCAAACAACATGAGTAGTCAAGCATAAAAAATAAAAAAAAAACACCGCTATATGCTCATCTTCAATAAACAAATAATAAAAAGAAACTTTTTAAAAATAAAAACATGAATAATTTATAAGGTCTCCATTTATTATCCATTAAATACACACATTCCTGGCCTTGTTCAAATATGACAGGAAGTTCAGAATCATCGGATAAAATGGAGCTGAGCTGGCGTTTTTTTCTCCTCATTTGAGAGACACGTGCGGAGTGGCAGCTCTTCCCTGAACACCAGTACTTAAGAACTCTTACATTACACATTAATCTAATCCTAGCCATTTCCCTGGGCTTTTAACATGAGTAAGGAAGCAGGAGGCCAAGAAATAAAAGTGAGAAGTTCAGTGGCATTAGAGTCATAACAAGGCGAGAAATTAAATCAGTTTTAACTTTGATCTCCAGCTTCTTCTGTTTAAAAGTCGAGTTCTGACAAATATTAGTGTTAAGTCCTACTCTACAACTTCAATTTCCTCTGTAAGTTGAAAATGGGATGAATCACATTTCGGACGCGTCTGAAAGATGAGAATTGCGAGGCTATTATATTTCTTGGTGTTACTAATCTAATTTGACATCATTTTGTTCACCTACAAAATGACAACAGGGGCCGTAGCGGTGTTTATTGAGACAGGATTGAGATCTAAATCTATGTTGTGTAATCTTTAAAAGAAATAATCCTATTACGCTGACTGCTCCATCGGAATGACTAAGCTAGACATCCACAGTTTGCATTTGAATTGTTTGTATGTGTGGAGGGATGGTTTACTCTTAGACTAAGTTGTTTTGTTTTTTTCCCTTTGTGTGCAGTGATGAACTACTGAAATGTGGCTTTACTGAAGATTATGATCATAAGGGATTTTCTTTAGCCCTTTATCTGTTGTTGAGAGGGACAGAACTGACTGCAATGTGCTGTAGGGTTAATAGTGTGATGGATCCACTGAGAATATAATCAACTTTTTGCATCTAATAGAAGGTAAGTCCCATATGTAAACATTTAGGAGAATGTTTTTTAATAGTATTATTATTTTTCACGACATACACTCATGGATACTATGTGTGTTAAAGGCAAATATCAAGTAACCAATCCCAATGCATTTAGGCATTTAAATGTGCTCTCCTTCTCAAACTGAGCATCAGAATGGAGAAGAAAGTTGATTTAAGTGGCTTTGAATGTGGAATGGTTGTTGGTGTAGATGAGATGGTAGAGTACTATTGCTATTAAAAAATAACAAGTTCATTGAAAATTATCCCAAATTTGGAGAATATGCAGTGAGCAACCATTTAGAGCAGTTTAGTTCAGAGGAGAATGACCAAGCTGATCGAAAGGCATCTGTAAACCAACCAAGGTCTACAGAAAAAGAAGAATCTCTGAACCCACAATAGATCAAACCTTGAAGCAGAAGACAGCAGAAGAATAGCACACCCTGAAGCCTAAGACTGGTTGAAAACTAGCAAAGTCCTGAACCTGGGTAAGAGTCCACCTGGGTTGCTATTAGAAGTGGTGTTAGTGAGGCCTACAGGGGCACTCCTGTGTGGGTCATGATTATATAATATAGCAGTGATTCTCAACCATGTTCCTGTATGGGCACTAGCACTGCATGTTTTGGATGTCTTCTTTCTCTGTCACACCCATTGCAGGACTTTCAGTCTCTACTGAAGATCTGAATCAGGGGTGTTTGGTTTAGGAGACCTGAAAAATGTGCAGAGCTGGTGGTCCTTTAGAAATGTGGTTAAAAAACACTGCACTATAGTGACAGGGACACTATCGTAACAAACAATGCTTTTTCACTATTGTAACAAATCTCATGGCCTTTCTTACACACAAACATACATGTATACATGGTTTACAAGGACACTCCATAGGCATAATGTATTGTATACATAAAAAAAAAACATTATTATATAGCCCTATCCCACCCCCGCCCGAAAACCCAAGCTTCACACAGGAAAAATGGCAAATTTTGAATTTCAAAAGACCTCATAAAGTATGAATTTTAAGCGTTTTGAATTACTACATCTAACCTTAACAGAGTACAAAAAGGTCATACTCATGTCATTATACAACTTTGTGTATCTGTAAACAACATACACCTACACACACACTCACAAAGGGTTTAACATAACCTCGACATTAACATATCACAGAAAGCTGAATGATACAAGAAAAAACATGCATGATTTATGAACAAGATGCATGAATGTAAATTAAACGCATATTCAGCAGTATGTGTTTACTGTGTCATTACAAACATATGCAGCAAATTTCACAACAGAAACGTTACACTAATGAAACTTAAACAGACCTTATGCCTCTTCAGGATGGCATTGTATAATTTTTTAATCCGTATATCCTGCAGTTTGTGTTCTGACGAGCTGTAAACATGAGATGTCATGTCACTAGGAAATGTTGGGGTAAATCAAACATTGGGCATGCAAATTTATGACCTTGCATGGATAGTCAAAGCCTGTGTTTTAATTTGATTGGCAGTATTTTTCAAACTGATCTTACACTCACAGGATTTACATGAGAACAAGGAAACAATGTTGTTTATTATTCAGCTATTCCTAAATATATCCAGATATTTATGTTTTTGCTTCATTGTTATTTCTGGTTGTTGTGTAATTATTGTAATGTTCCTGGATATAGCATACTGTATATCTGAATTGGTATTATTACTTTATGTACCGTTTCAAAGCTATAGTAAAAAAAATAGTTTAATTGATTAATTCTATGGTACATTTAAATGAATGAAAAAAACATTGCTTGTTTTGACGAGTCTTGATTTGTACTGTGATACTCGAATTGTAGATTCAGAATTTGGTCTAAAGCGCGGATCCATCCTGCCTTTTATCAATGCTTTATGCTGCTGTAATGGTATGAACAATATTTTCTTGGCACACTTTCAGTCCCCTGGTACCAATTGAGCATCATTTAATCGTTGTTGTTGCTGACCATGTCCATCACTTTATGACCAAAGTGAACCCTTCTTGTGTAGTCTACTTCCAGCAGGATAATGCTTTATTAAGCTCAAATTGCCCTACAGTCACCAGAACTCAATCATGATTATGTTAAAGATTTTTCAAAATGTGTGATGTTCCCATGCCAAAATGAACCAAAAATTTGCAGCACCTTGTTGAATTGATGCCACAAAGAATTAAGGAAGTTCTGAATGTTGTGTCCAATACAGTCAAGGTGGTGCACCTAATAAATCTTCCAGGGAGTATATTTTGAACAGACTAAGAAGCACTTCAAAACTCTTTACCATTTCAGATGTTCCTCTGGTCCTCAGTGTTCTCTAAGGAGCCACAGGTTCCCTGTCATCGCTCACCTGAGGAACTGGTAACTAACATGTTGATGTTAGAGTTGGGATCTCTGGTGAAGCGCACCGAACGTCTCCACCAGGAGAGGGCAATGGAGACCCGCAGGCGCAAGTCCAGTGTGGATTACAGCTGGCTGGCATCAGTTCCACAGAGATCCTCCCGTGAGATCTCACCTGGAGAGAAACTGGAGCTTCAAGACCTGTGCGCCAAGATCCCCCCATCCCAGTGCGGTCCACTCATTCTCAGGTAGGCCTACAGTGATCAATGCTAAAACTCATACACGAACATTCACATATAAATTAAGAAATGTAACTATTTAAAGACATTTCTGATTATTTAAAGTCAATATTTTTCTCTAATTATGATACATGCATATAAAACTATATACAAATAGATACCATGAAACCGCCTACAGAAACAAAACAAAAAAATTATACATAAAATTAACTAGAAATTAGATATACTCAGTGGAGGAGAGAGTACTGAAAAATCATACTCCATTTCCATGTGGTTTGTGCAGGGATGCGTGAACGTAGCATGCTGTAGTGCATTTAGTGATCTTCCTATATTCGTTCCTTACAACCTTCATTCCATTGTTTGTTTGTTCTGTCCTTCCTTCTTTACTTTTTTATTCATTTGTTCGTTCCTTCCTTTATTTATTTTGTCCTTCATTTCTCCCTTCATTCGTTCACTAATTCATTTGTTCGTTTATTTTTGTTCCTTCCTTCATTCTTCCTTTAATTTGTTCGCTTATTCATTAATTCATTTGTTCATATTTTTTTCTTCCTTCATTAGGTCCTTTGTTTATTCATTCATTCATTCCTTCCTTCCTTTTTTATTTTATCTAATTCTTCCTTGAATCCTTCCTTCCTTCATTTGTTTGTTTCTTCCTTCATTAGCTCACTCATTCGTTCATATTTTTGTTCCTTCATTAGGTCCTTTGTTCATTCATTAGTTCCTTCCTTCCTTAGTTTATTCAGTCCTTTCTTGAATCCATAATTCATTTGTTCCTTCATTTGTTCGCTTATTCTTTAATTAAAATTTTTGTTCCTTCATTATTTGTTTGTTCAATGATTCCTTGAATCCTTCCATCATTCATAGGATCCTTCCTTACTTCATTAGTTTGGTCCTTCTTTCAATTTTCAATCCATCATCTTCTCATCAGTGACATGCAGTCTGTAAAAAGTCTCTGGGTCAATGCGTGTAAAGATTTTGGACATGTTCTTGGACATTTTTAATGCTTTCAAAGGGTTTGCTACATTTATAAAGCACCCATGTCTTAAGGTTGTGATGCAATTTACTTTCTATGTGCGATTTGATTGGACAGGAGTCTGATTTTTCTACTTTAGCCAATCACCATAGACAAGAAAGAAGTAGTGACTGCAGATTGAAGGAAAATGGTTGAGTAAAAGAACCGATACAGCACTAAAAATGTACTGAAAAGAAAGTAAAACTAAATACATAAAACTAAATTACAATTCCTAAGAAAAACTACTCAATGGCAGTAACTGGAGTATTTGTTACTTTACACCCCTGAAATACTGTATAGATGACTACTGCAGTTGTTCCTTCCAGCAAGGCAATCTCAGGTAAAAATTGGGCGAGTGGATGGTTCAAACCATTGTCTTTTTAACAGTAGTGCTCGCAGATGATAAGGTCCTTTTTTGATGAGTGTTCAGTTGTAGAATGGAGTCATTCAATAAAAGAAAAAGTAAGAGATGTTTAAAGATATTTTTAAATATGTATTTTGAAAAAATAGGATAACTGACATGATTATATCATTGCAGGGCAGAATAAAAAAAATTGCCAGATCAAATCTTTTCATTTAAATATATCAAAGCTCAATTCAAAATAACCTCTTATAGAAAGTTTCTTTGAGACATCATCTGTATTTTTGTTGTTCAGACTGAGGAAAATGGTGACAGAGCTTGAGCCGGAGGTGAGTGAGGTGTCTCGCGTGTTTCGGGCCGTACTCTGCAACTACCTGGATGAGATGGAGGAGGGAGCCGCCATGGAGAAAGCGCTGAAGGTCCGGGTCAGCCGCAGCAAGAGCATGTCCGTCATCAACCTGCGCTCACGGCTTCGTATCAGCCCACTCTGGAGCAGATCCACAGCCGGCCGAGATGATGAGGATCCTGGCACTGAGGAAGATGAAGATAAGATCTACAGGAACAGGAGGATCAGGAGCATGCCACATATCAGCATAGTGGAAGAAAAAGCACAGACCTGAACAAACGGACAATTTTGGCAATGCTGTAGCTTTTTTTCGCATAGTTTAAAGCATTGCTTGTTCAGTAAAGGAATGCTTTTCTATTTTTATTCTTTTTTTTGGTATCAGACGGTTTTTATAGCTTGGTCTTGTTGATTCATCATTTAGAGATTTCCCTTACATCAAACATGACATATTTATCAAATGCCTGCATTAGGACTCCCAACAACTGATCAATACATTTAATCATAATCGCTAGTTAAAATAATTGATTATTTGTCTCTGCAGATCCAAAAGAGGCATTTATACATACTGTGTATATATAGACACACTCCTGATCCAAATCTTCAGACCAGGTCAGAAATTGGCATGGTATCCAGGATGGTATCCAGGTTGTAAGTACTGCTTCAAACTGGCAAAAGAAGAAACAACCCAACACAAGTGTCCAAAATAAAGAATCAATAATGAGTAGCTTCACTGACCTTCTTGAAACCACCAAACATTGGTTTCAGCATGCTGGACGTGACAGGAGGTCAGTGGGAATATTGATGATTCAATGTGATGAAGGCTTCAGAAATGGCAACCACGGTCTAGAATTGAGATATTTTTTGCAAACTTCCCTTGCCATCAATCCATTCCTGAATTTTTTTAGTGGGATTAAGATCATATTCTCCTGGATGATAACCTTCGTCAGGCAGGCATTGTGAACTGCAGAGTTGTTCTGTTAAAAATACACAGACGCGAGAGATGCCCCATGCAAATCCACATAGCCAGTCACCTCCGCACAACCTGAAGCTGATTTTCCCATTGAAGCAAGATGCATCCCACGTCATGATGGAGCCTAGTAATTTTTCTAAGCCATCAGGGCCGTCCAAGTTCATTTTTTTCTCATCAGAGAATAAAACTTTCTTCTGCCTTTCAGCATCCCATGTTTGATGCCCACTTGTAAATTCCAAATGGGCAAGTTTGTGATGTGGGAGGAGATGTGATGTCTAAAGATCACAGATCTTGTCTTATGGTTACTGGACTGCAGTCAGCATCAGCATCAGAAAAGGCTTTAATCTCAGGAACATAATGAGCTTTATTCACCAAACACAATGATTGTTTTATTTTGAACAAGTATATATATCAATGTGAATACTTGTCCTTTTGCACCTGGTCTTAAGATTTTGATTATACAGTGCTCAGCATAATTGAGTCCACCCCATTTTGAAAATGAATGTTTTGATCCATATTTGTCACATAACTTTAGAAATGGAAAGATAATACAACAAAATTCATGCAAAATATTGCAAAAAGAAAATTACAAACTACAAAATTATCAACAAAATTGTAAATATCATTTGCTTTTCTTGATTTTTGCTATTTTTTATTTTAATTTTTAAAATATTTTTCACTTACATAAATTTGGCCAAATGTTTGAACCATTATTGTAAGTAAAAAGTTTGTTAGATAAGCTCCAGATTTGGCTGACTAAACTAATGTATATACACAAATATAATATTGTATTGTTAGAAATTTGTGGGGGGTGTACTCATATGCTGAGCACTAAATGTTGCTAAAACTACAAAATGTAAAAAAAAAATATATATATTTAAATTTTCGAGCATAAAGAAACAATGAAACGTTTAATTGCTTATCAAAAATAAGCCCTAGCTAAAAATAAAACATTAAAAAAACAATTTTATCCTAAAAATAGATAACTTTATTAGTAATCTTATAATATTTTGAGTTCTGCACCTATAAAATATGCTACAATAAAAAAGAAAAACAGATCTCACACACATTACAACATAGATATTCTATTTCATTTTTCAATACCGTATGTATTTCACAAATAATGGCCTGTGAATTCCCCCAACCTCATTGGGTAGTTAAACACAACTTTACACTAAGATTTGGAAAGCAGCTTTCTAACAGACTATCTGTGAACATACACAGAAATATTTCTGTACAAACCAGCTTGTGAAAGTTGACTTAAAGAACCACTGAAATAAAAAATAAACTGAATCTTTTTTTATTCATATTTCTCCCAAAATTCATGAATTATGTCCAGCTTTTACGTTAAAGTAGTTCTCTGTTCTCACCAAAACTTGAAAAGGTCTGAATACTTCAAATACTGACCTCTTACCCACTGGACAAGCAGTATCTAAATGTTTAGCAAAGAAAAATAGGTGGAATCCACATTAAAACGGTCAACAAGTAGGGGTGTAATGTTGTCTTTCAGCAGTCAGAATACACAAAGTATGTATATTTCAAACTCCTGCAAAACAAGTGGCCTCAAAAGGAATATTTAGTCAAAAGAGAGAAATAATGCAATGCATGATAATGTCTCAGAAAAGATGTGTAGCATATTTAGTATAAACCACAACATTATAGTTTGCACTTTGACTGAATGAACCAGAATCTGTCAAAACAGTTGGAGTTGTTAGTTGTGCGATTCAGAAAAACAATGTTGATTTCTTCGACAGACAATAAAACGTAAGACAATTATAGTTAAATTATTTGAAATCTATGAGAAACCGCCAGCTGCTTTGTCTTTGTTTTTACCAATTTTGAAGACAAGAATCAGTAAAAGACAGTGACCGGTGAGCAGATAAAGAGCAGACAGAAGTAAGAGCACAGCCTCTTTTACTCTTCAAATACTGTGAATCATATACTCCTCAAAATCGGCACCTCTTAGAGCTGGACGTCAGGTCATGAAGAGCACAAAGACAATGAAAAAGATGACGAGGACTAGGAACATCTTGATGAGCAGCCAGCGGTTGTTGGACACAGACTGGAAATATTTGAGTATCTCTGTATGCGCCAGGTCCACGTTCAGCTGAGTGTCCTCCACATTCGCATCAATTCTGAAATGGTAGAGAGGAATCCATTTTTGCTTAAGTAGTGCAAGTATGCTAAAGTTCAAAAGTGTAAAAGTCGTTAAATCTTGCATTCATTTGATTAAGAATGCAGAAAAAGCTGTAATGTTGCTAACATTTCTCATTAGCATGCTTAATATTGGTATGTAAATCATACATTTCTTTAGAATTTCTTTTTGCTGAATAGACAATAAAAACAGCTGTTATTTATTGCAAAGTTTGTTTGTAACATTAGATTCGTTGTCATTTACCTCTTTGTTGATGAATGAAAGTATCATATATACCAAGAAATTCAAGGTTTGTTGAAGGATTTATAACTAGAGTCAAGCTGCTGGGTTTTAAAAAAAAATATGCACAATTATTTGAGCAAATCAGCTTAGATAGACAACTTTTAATACTGGTTTTATTTATTAAACTGCTGGCTAACTGTTAGTGTGGCAATAAAAGAGGGTTTGCAAAGGCAAAAAGCTTTACATTATGGTCACAAACTGTGACGACTTGACCACAAATGGAAGTAAATAGGGAAACACACACTTGCAAATTGATTAGACACAGAAAGTGTGGAACAGGAAAAGTAAATGAAGAGCCATTCTTGAATCTCACCTACATTTCGGAGTTCAGGTATGTTGTATTATAACACTATTAGTATTTACGATTTATTTAATATTATTTTTTTATATAATCCTTCATTGATTGAGCTTTTCTTTTGATATTTAAAAGGGACCATAGAATGAAAATCTGGGTATCCTAGCTTAATAATAAGACTTCAGTACATAGGAATGACTTACCACGAGCTGAAAAAGTGCAAGTTAACGTGTATATTATGAAATTTGCTGCATATGTTTGTAATGATACAACAGACACATGCACAATGCTAAATTAGTGTTTAATGCACACTTATGCATCATGTCATATCACTCAGCTCTTACTATGATTTGTTTAAAGCGAAAGGACAGCAATCAACTTTGAAAACTCATCTGCTAACTGCAAACAGAGGTTGATATTTTTTCCTGCCATCGTTTTCAGATGTGTTAGACCTTTTGTCAGGCATAATTACAATTTAGTCTATATTTGATTCACAACACATAACTCAGGAGCTGTAACTGAGCAGATGTCATTGTTTACAGTTAACTCCGAAACCTCTTCTCCACTGCAGTTGAAACAATTGTCATTTTGACAAGACTTTGTTCAAATATTTCCAAGTAACTGAAGGTTATTTTGCGCATTTGTATTTCAGATTACACCAGGCTGTGAGAGCATCAGAGAGATGAGAAAAAGCAGAGCTCATTAATATTCATGACCCTTAAAATAAGGTGAAAACTGAGCTTTTCACTGTGGGGCCAGATTCTAGGTTCTAGGGGGCCTGTTAAACCATTCTTTTTTTTTGCATTTACCCAAGCCTCATCTCTTCTCTGTAGATATTATATGGCACCTTTAAGTATAAATTTGAGTAATTTTGTTTATATTTTATGAATATTATCTGAAGGACTCTTTTTTTTTTTTATATATATATTTCTAGTTTAAATCTGCTCTATAATCTGTAGTCTACAACAGGGGGGTCAAACTCTAATTAAACACACTTAATTGTACTAATTGAGTCCTTCAGGTTTGTTTGAAAGCTACAGGCAAGCGTGTTAAAACAGGATTGGAACTAAACTGTGTAGTAGTGATGCGTGGATGATGGTTATATCCGCGGGCGCTGCGGATAATCTGCGGGTCGAGCAGGTTGGGTAATAAAAAAACACATTATGATTAATTGTGGGAGGGTTGCAGGTAGATGTAGCAGGACATGGCAGTGGACCAGTGAAAAAGCAGAGTACGGGCTTTGAAGGATGAGAATATGAGAAGGCCAAAATAATAGATGAAGTGCAAGAGTACTGTTCAAACTTTCAGTTAGAGGAGTCATCAGAGGAAAATCTGCTATCGTTCTGGGAGAAACAAGATAATTTATTTACACGACTGCAGCACCTTACGAGGAGAATCTTGTTCATTTCTACAACAAGCGGTGCAAGCGAACGCTCATTCAGTGCAGCTGCCCACGTTTTGGAGGCAAGGCGGAATCGTCCAAATTTAGGCACAGTAGATGCTATTCTGTTTTTGCACAGTGCAAAGCAAAAGACCATGTAAACAACATAGCTGCCGTTTAGGCTGAAGTGGCACTTTTTTTGTTATCTTGTTCATGTATCTGTAAAAGCTAAAATGTCTTTTATTACTTTTTTTTGAAAAGGAAGAAAATGTTGTATAAAGACAAACTTTAGTTTTTATAAATAAATATTCATTTAAAAATGTTTACGATTAATGTAGGCAACTGTTTTACTATCAGAGATGTGAACTATCATCATGCCTAAAACAAAGAATTAAAATTATTAAAGTGACGATCAGGTGCGGATCGGGTGCGGGTCTGATGCGGATATATACATCAGATAAAAGTATAAGTGCGGGTGGGTGGCGGGTGGATGATTAGTATGAAGCCGCGGATTCGGGGTGTCATTTCAGCTGATCCGCTGTGGCCGTTCAGGAACTGAGTTTGACCACTTTGGTCCACAGTCACAAATACACTTTTAAACTGATCTGTCATAACAGTTTGCAATTTACATACTGTATTCTGCAGTTGGTATACATTGGTATATCACTATAATCAAACTGCTTATTTCTCATTGCTATAAGATTTGGTTCTTTTTTATGTTACTAATGGGCGAGGCTTTCCTTGTTAGATTACATGTACAAAGGGAGAATGTCGAAGTCAAATCAAAGTGTTTCTCCTGACTGTTTTTATGAAGTGTGATTATAAATATACATTTTTACCACAAGAAGCTTATTATATTTACAGACTGTTGCCACACAACTGCTTAAACCCCTTATAAAAGTGATTTCTACATAATAAGTATGCTTTAATGTACAGAAATGAAATCAAAACACACTTGTAAGGAAATATCATTTATCGGTACATGCTTTCAGAATCACCTTTACTTGAAACAGCTCAACTGAATACTTTTTATATAAAAAAATCTGCTTCTGGGCAGGTTTGAACTCACATGCTGCAGACATGCTGCTATGACAAAAACACTTGGATGAGTTTTGAAGAACCAAACTATCCTGGATTGTGTCTAATGGTCAATAACCAAATCCACATGTATTGAAAAGCACAAACATTTCTTTCCTCACCTGTGTACAGTCTCTTCCTGTTCTTTCACCATATGAGCCAGCTGCTGAAATATGGATCCGAGCTCAACAATGGTGGACTCTATATTCTGCATAGTGTCTGCACGGTTCTGAATGTACGAATCCTAAACACAAACAAGGCAGCAGTGATTTAAACACATTTAAACCAGTTTACAAGCAGCTTTTGTTACAAAACAACCAATAAACAAACAATACCCGTTCATTGACTAATTGCATCTGCTGACTGGAATTCAGGTCCATATCTATAGATATATCCGTCTTCTTGGAGTCGTCCTGCATAAGCACTGAATTATCTGGGAATAAACATGAAAAAGATGAAAAAGAGTGCCGGGTTTGTTACCAGAATTTTATATAATAAAACAAACACAGTAAATGTAAAATATACACTGTCTTGTCAATTGTTTGTCTCAGATTTGACCTTTATTACAGTCATTAGGACCTCACAAGTCTCTCTTTTAAAATTATATTTTCTATAGGAAATAAAAAAATACTATATTTATGCTTATCAGTAGATTAGACAGCACCAAGGACAAAACAGAAGCGAATCCGTTCAAACATTAATATACTCAAGTTATTATGTTGGGGTAATAATAGGAAATAAAATTTAATAAACAGGAAAAATTAAGAGTAACACAAAACATGTCAAATATAGTTTGTACATTTTTTAAATGTATTATCTTCCTATTTCTATAGATGTTAGGTGACCAAACTCCTATTTTAATGGAAAAACCATTTAATAAAGCTGTTTTGTTTATATAGTCCAAAGATTATTGGCTATATTCAATGAGAAATTAATACAAATATTTATTTCCAAAAGGCAGTGTACTCATTTGGGCAGAGCTCTGTATAAATGTTTAGAGTAAATTAAACTGCTACAATGTAAATACAATTGGTAACACCATAATAGAGTCTCATTAGTAAAAGTTAGTTAATGGATTAAAACCAACAGTGAAAAAAGTTTTTTTCTAACTGAATACAGTTACTATGTTAATATCAATAAAAAAACATTGTTGATGTTAATATCTGAATTATTAAACTATCCAACTACAGACAGACAGACAGACAGACAGACAGACAGACAGAGAGATAGACAGACAGACAGAGAGACAGAGAGACAGATAGATAGATAGATAGATAGATAGATAGATAGATAGATAGATAGATAGATAGATAGATAGATAGATAGATAGATAGATAGATAGATAGATAGATAGATAGAAAGATAGATAGATAGTTAGATATATTTCCCCTCTCACTGTCACGGACTGTTAAATATTATTATTTTTTTCCATTTGTAATGTTTAGAAGAGTTTATTTCCTTTTGTACCCAGCTTTTTTTATGTGTGTATTTTATGGTTGTATTATGATCATCTTCTGTCATGTCAAGTTGCATTTGACTGTCATTAAAAAAATTTATTTGTTTATATTTATTTGTTTATATAAATTTAGCAGATTTGGGTTGTATTCAAAATCGCCCCCAATTCCGAGTGTACTATTTGAGCCATTTTGTGGTAGTGTCTGAAACCAGTGGATGTTCTGCACTTAATCAAACTCATGATGCACCGCAATAACAAGTGTACAACCAATGTACACTCAACAGCTATAAAAATACTTATAATGCACTGAGTTAGCAAGCCGAATTTAGTGCATAAGATGACATCCACAGTGGTATCCTATCGCTGTCAAATTTGAAAGTAATGAATTATTTTATGTAATAGTTTACTTTTGCATACAAGACAGAAATAAAAACACATTTTTTATATTTAGTAATTCCAGGGCTCGCTAAGTGTTAAATACTGTAAATATCACAGAATCTGAACAAGAAATTGAGTATCTGTCTGAAGGATTTATACCCAAAGCACAAACAAAACGGCAATCCTTCCTGTGCACTCAGTACTCAGAATCACTCATTTAAGTGGACTAAAGTAGTGGACTAATGTAGAAAATAGTGGGAGATTTTGGATACAGCCTAAATGTTTTAAAAATTCAGCTACACAGATAGTGGCAAATCTCTCTGGCCAATCAGGATCTTCAAATGGAATCTAAGCCAAGGAGGTACTTAAAATATATATACTTAACTTTGTATACTTGGTAAAAAAGTGAGTTGTACCAAACCATACTATGTCATACGAAGCAGTGGAAAAGCACTTTGATTCACAACACTTCACTTAAACCTCACTGAACATCTTGAGATGACTTTATCACAACCAAAGATGCTCTTACTGAAGCTGTTAGTGTGGAAAGCAGATGCGGAGGCAGGAGTCTGAGAAAACTGCTCTTGTCTGCTTCTCTGCTGCTTCAGGTTCTACAAACAGACAGAAATAAAGGGGAAATATAGCCCATGAATAAAATGATTCAAAATTCATCAATTATTGGGTCACCTTTAAGTCCGCATTTAAACATGGAGATGTATTACAGGGATAATTTTGGGACATCCGATACATGCAGTGCTGTAGGGCTCCAGGAACCTGGTTGAGAACCACTGCTTTAAAACATTAAATGTACCTTTGGAGTGGCTGAGAGCTTAAAAGTGCAGCGTTTTAAGAAAGCACTTGCTTTTTTTACTATTATGAAAAAAATATATAAATTAAGCAAATTGCAGCCGGGTCGAGTCACATTTTGGGGTCCCTTTGAAAGATATCTATTGTGTTCTGTGCTATTTGCATGTGTTTTGAAAAAATGCAGCGTGTTTTCATAATTGTTTTGAGTTGTGAAGATCTACAACACATTTGCTGTCAAAACAATAAAGATCGTTTCTTAATTTCCAGGTAATTTTTGTAAATGCATTTGTTTTCTTAAATTGCAGCATGTTAAGCTCTCTTGGCCACTGTATATTTTCCCTTAAGGCAGGAGTGTCCTCACTCGGTCCTGGAGGGTCGGTGTCCTGGAGAGTTAAGCTCCAACCCTAATGAAACACACCTGAACAAGCAAGCTCTTACTAGGTATACTAGAAACTTCCAGGCATGTGTGTTGAAGCCATCGATATATACACTAGATATCGCATAGAGACCTGAGCATGCGTCAATAATGCCGCCATATTTGTACAGTGCTCCCAGGACAAGGGTCATTCAACCACACTAGTCAATACAGTGTTATTACGTGAAGATGCTGGATTTTAGAGCTGTTTACGTGTGTAGTAATGAGCAAACAAAGAAAACAAAGCACAAAGGCAGAACATTTCATAGGTAAGATTCAGTTTTTTACATTTTTGTATGTTATGAACTTTTGTGCTAAACGGGTAACGTTACTGAGTCACTTACTGCATTCATCATAAGGCAAAGCAGCAACAACTTGCACTAAACACTCGGCTTATGCTAGTTTTGTTGACTAAAATCAGCAAACAATGCAAAAGAAATATGACAATGAGATGCTTCGGTGCCAGAAACTTGCATTATTGTCAGCTAAGTGAAGGTGTCATTCATAACGAAGATTGATTCACAAACTAATTGCTCCTCCGTCAGTATGAGAAGTGAGCAGGAGAGAGGGTGTGTTTCAGGACATGGATTAGATCAAATTTAACAGGGAGGATGTATAGTAATTCTGTGGCTCTGGATGGCCAGTCCTCCACTGCAGTTTGGTCCCGCATTCATTTCAAAGGAGCACTACCCTGTTCCAAAATGGTAGCTCTATTGACACATTCCTTCTAATAGACAACAACAGGGTAGGCATCATCTAATGTATATATCTATGTGTTGAAGCAAGTTGCAGCTAAGATCAGCAGGACACCGGCCCTCCAGGTCCGACTTTGGACACCTCTGTCTTAAGGCATAAAAACAGCTGGTGTGATTTTCTAGTGAAATCTGGCAACACCAACCAATATAATGGAGAATGAAAAATTCACAGAAGACATCAAGAAGATCTTTGTGTGTTTTTGCAGGCTGAAGACTAACTGCCATTGAGGTATATTTAGTTAATATAGATCAAGATGTATGACTTTCACCTCACCGCTGTAAGCATATCAGATCAGATCAATTTAATGAGATCAATAACTTGAGAACTAATAAGTGATTATTAGCCGATTGCAAACTCTATATTTGGTCAAAGTTAGCACTCCTACCAAATACTGCATTTAAGGCAAAAAAGGAAATCAATTACCTCTGTTCTGACTTCCAGGACAGACTTGAAGTCACTGGACATCGATGCCAGTTTGGACTACAAACAGAAAACATATTATATTTCAAGAGAACATCCACTAGACATCACTGTTTTGTAAATGAATACTAAAGCCAGAGGTTAATACCTGTAATGAGACCACGATGGTGTTGGAATGTGTCTGAAGATGTCTGCCGTTCTGTGCACTTCGAGACCGAACCAGCTCCTGCAGGCCAGCAATCTGCTTAATCAGACTGTTGATGTCCTGAACAGGGATGGTTAAGAGTATGAAATGCACAGAAAGAATAATGTGTCCTTTTTGAATGGCAGGTAATAATAAACCCTCACCTGTTTCACGATATAAGTGAGTTCATCAATCTCAGTGGCTTTGTCATCGAACAGGGACTTTCTTTTGGCAACTGTAGACGTAAACCGTTTGAGTTATATGCTAAAAACATGTGCAACGATGACAGGAGAGACAAGATACTTACGAATTGTGAGCTTCTCCAGCTTGGCAAAAGTGTTGCTGAGGTCTCTTCCAATTCGCCTGTTAATAAGATGCGGGTCAATATCTGTCATAAAGCCAAGTCGATGAAATAACACAGACCATTAAAGCTTAAGTAGGTCTGAATAAATTATAGGTCAAATGCAGCGTCTCGGTGCCAATACTAAATACAGTTGCAGGGAAAAAGTCCTTGAACCCTCTGGATTTTCCGGGAAATTGGTCATAAAATTGGATCCAATGTTCAACAACAATAAAGAAACAATAAAGTGAAGTATGTGAAGGTAAATGCAGTGAGGAGTCAGCTGACCTGGATTCCAGTCAGTGTTTATGTTGGTCAAATCCACTCTGGCTGATGAAAATCATTCACAATTCTGATTTGAGTACGGTTAATCATATGATGCTCATTTATTTACTAATGTATTAATGTATTGTTGTCAGGCTCTAGTCACTTAAAGACAAACACATTTAAAATACAAGTCATACTTACAATGTTTTGAATAGAGCAAAACATTTTTATACAAATAATCTTAATATTGGTATAGGTGCTCCAAAAACATTTCATCTTACTGACAACATCTGTGCTGTTTTATTTACATTTTATAGATAGGCAGTATAATTAATAAACATTCAACTTAAAAAGAAATAGGATGTATTACATCATTTTATATATTTTTAAAAAATACAACAAAAAAAAAACCTAAAAACCTTCAAAATGTGAAAAATGTGAGGTATCTTCAGGTGTCAAATTCAATTGCTCTGCACAGTTTAGTTCCAACCCTACTTCAGCACAATATTTCTGTAGTATGGCGCTGTGAAAAGGGGCGGGATTAAACAAGATATTACACATTTTAAAAAGCATGCGATTGGGCCATATTATAAATTTCTGCCCATAGAGGTCATGTTTTAATCTTCCAATTTTGAATCCTGAATTGGTCTCACATGGTCAAGTGATGCAATTTCACAGGTCAGAGTTCACCAAGCTTGAACTTTGCAATGCAGCTAACTTTCAAACTTGTCACATGAGCTTGCGTTTGTGGTGTGATGCATTCGTGTGCATATAAATGGAAGTCTATGGGGAGAAAAGTCCAGTGTGACTGCAGGTTTACCTGTAGGTTTCAAACAAGCCTGAAGGACTCAATTAGTTTGATCAGGTGTGTTTAATTAAGTTTAAAACAAAACTGTGCAATGCCCTCCAGGAACTGGATTGACACCTGTGCTCTAGAAGAACATTGGCTGTTTCTCAATATGCGTTCTTCAGCGGTCTTGCGTCCTCGTGTTCTCGTGCAACGTCATCATCAGCTGCCCAAGTTCAGTTCCAATACTCAAGACCGCAAGAACGGAGGACGCGTGAAACTTCCCGGATGTGTTCTTGATATCGAGGACGCACTGATGCAGACTTGAGCACCGAACTCACTCTGGAAGTCCCAGAAGTCATTGCGACTAGAGGTGGGAAGCGCTGCATTTTATTTAGATTTATTATTAAAGTTTGGAGATATTACTTATTTACATCGGGAGTTTCCCTAAATGAAACGGTGAAAGTAAACATTACCATGAACATCTTAATAAAGGAATAAACACATTAAGGGTGTTTGTTTGATGAAATTCGTATTAACATCTGTTTTATTCATATTGTGCAACATAGATTTATAATGTTTTTATGCAAAATATATATTTTGAAAAGGGGAAAAACAATAAATCGTTGTATGAAGGCTGTAATGTTTAAATAATTTCCATTTAAAATGCGTGAAGGTCACGTGACCATCAGGAAGAACGCAGCATCCCATTTCTCAAAGGACGCATTCTCTGCCCTCGCGATCTCCTGAGTTCGTTCTTCTGAGGACACCTGGCAAGACCGGTCTCCAGAAGAACACAAGTCCGTTCTCTGCGTTCTTGGAATTGAGAAACAGCCATTGTGTTTGTAACTCGAAAGCCAACACCTCCAAAAATGCATTTAATGACAACTTTTTTTTTCATTGATATTTTTTATAAGATTTATTTATATATTTATGTTTTTATGTTCACTTCTTGTGCTTCTAGCAAAGAAAAAAAATAAAGAGTGCATTCAAAGCTTTAGATCAGGGGTGTCTAAACTCGATCTGAAGAGCCGGTGTCCTGCAAAGTTTTGTTCCAACCCCTATCAGACCCAACCTGGGCTAGCTAAACAAGCTCTTACTAGACTTTCTAGAAACAGCGGCAGTGTTCGAAACAGCATACTTCCATACTATATAGTATGCTAAAATCTTTATGTGAGCCAAGTAGTATGTCCGAACTCATAGAATTTGAAAAACAGTATGCGAGAAGTACCTGGATGACCGACTACTTATGGGGAGATTCTGAAGTGCGCATCGCAATCTCATGATGCCTCGCAGTAGAATTCATGAATGGGAGTAGTAGAATGCAATACGTCCAAATTCCTTTTATACTGCTCACATTTATACTGTATAGAACATACTTTTATAACGGCTGAGTAGTACATTTAAATTCATATGCAAAACCTACTGAGTAGTAGGCGGTTTCAGACGCCAGCCATCCTGGCAGGTGTGTTGAGGCTATTTGGAGCAGGACACTAGCCCTGCAAGACCAAGTCTGGACACCCCTGCTTTAGGATCATTTTCAGATCAACCAATTAAAAGGGGATTTTTTTTTTCTTTCTAAAGTTTTAAACATTTTGTTTTTTAAAAAATATTAAAATAATTTTTTTAAATAAAATTAAATAAACAACACTAGCAGGTGCCAATTTGTCAATGAATCCTTCTTTAAAAGAATTCATTCAAAATGTCTCATTTACATTGGTGAGAACAAAATGTAGTTATTAACTCTGACTGAATTTTGATGAAAATCAACTAGTTTGTAAGAATGCAGTTAATAAAGATTGTGTCTTTAAATAATGAATAACATCAAATATAGTCTGTATTTAAAGAAAATGTTTAAACTTTTTACTTGATTACACTATAATACCTTTTATAGAATCATTAAACTTAAATAAAACCAATATAATGAAACCAAAAGAAAAAAAAGTCGGGCATGTCATTTTGTAGGAATGATGTCTAGAGGAAGTCAAACACAACCTCATGGCTAATACTTAGTGGATAATTCATATGAATTCCTACGATCATATTATTTCCAACCTGCTTTTGAATATTATAAGGTGTGTTTAATAGCAGCATATTCATATATCAAACCATGAAACTTGATATGTGTATTTACTAAAACAGACTGTGCATGTGTCTTGTTGTCAGCTGAAGATCAGATCAAATATTAGGACTAAAAATCGCTACTTTTGATTACTTTTCATTTTTAACTCTGTATGAGAGATTGCAAATTAGTTTACTCACTTAGCCAAGAGTGTGAAATCACTCCTCTTTTGGATTGCATTGTTGACAGCTCTGACAGGCTGTGCTCCATTCTAAAAGATAAAAACAAGATAAATTTTAATGCAACCAGTACAAACTCCATTACAGCGAGACTATATTGAATGTTTTAGCCACTCACAGGTTTCCCGACAGTGTGAATCAATAGTTATCGCACCTGTCTTCCTTGCAGGGACTTGCACACAGACTGAAACTCGCCAGTTCGGTCTCTGCAGGACATGCTGAATGTGTCTGGGACGGGAGCAATGGGCGCTGGGACAGCCAGGGGGGTTTCCAGCTGCTGGACCAGCTGGGACTGGGTCTGAGAGGGCCCAGTGTACACCCCGTCCTGGCTGCTTTTAGGACCGTGACGCCGACGTGTGTTCATTGGTGCACCCACTCATCACCTTATGAACAGGAAAGAGGAATCCATCCAGACATATTCAGTAACAAAATAAACTATGCATGATATTATTATTGTGGGCACTTCAACTCAATTATTTATGATTTAAACATTTTGAATGCCTCTCAAGAATATTCAGATTGTGGTGTTCATCACAGGACCAAATGCTTGAATGCTTGACCAAATACTCATTAGATTTTTTTTTAAATACACATGTTTCTTTACGTCAATAATTTAGTGTACAGTGTTCAACATAAATGAGCACACCCCATTTGAAAATTTATATTTTCATCCATTTCTCAGTGAATATAGATAATAAAAATGATAATAAATTTTATTTGTAATGCGCTTTTCTTAGACTCAAAGCGCTAAGAGGCAAAATACCAACAATAACAGAAAAAGCACAAAGATAAAAAAGATGCAATAAAACAATAAGAATATGAACCATAAGATGGAATTTAAAAAGTTGACAAAATGTTTGTCCTAAGGTAAAAGCAATGCTAAAAAGTTGAGTCTTAAGTAATTTCCTAAAACAGTCCAGAGAAGCGGCATTCCTAATGCTTATGGGTAGTGCATTCCACTACTTAGGCGCACCCCATGAGAAAACCCAACCACCCATCATCTTTAGTTTACAGCGTGGCTGATACAGGGTAAGTCCCAATACTGAACGAACACTGCAGGCTGGTGTAGCAAGATTCACCAGGACACAAATGTAACCACGTTCTAGCCCATGCACCCTTTGAAAGTTAAAATCACGATCTTAAAATCAACCCGTGACTTAATAGAAAGCCAGTGTGGTTGTTGAAGTATGAGTAATATGGTGGCGTGATTATCTGTGTGTCAAAACCTGTGCAGCGGAATCTGTAATCTAATGAGAGAACTTGTAGGTAAATCCCAAAAAAGTTAATTACAAAATCAAGATGTGATGTGATGAAGGCATGGATAAGCCTCTCTGCATCAGGTAGTGAGAGAAATGGTCTAATCTGTGCAATATTGTGGAGATGCGAGAAGGCAGTTTTTGTAAAGTGTTTGAAACTGAGCTGAGGTAATATATTTTGGTGCATTTGAACAAAACAGATTTATTAAATTAAAATATTTATTAAAATTATATTTTAGTCACCAAACGTCTTTAGAAATAGAAAGATAATACAATTAAATTTATGCAAAATATTGAGGAAAAAATTACAAACTATAAAAGTTCAACAACATTATATATATATATATATATATATATATATATATATATATATATATATATATATATATATATATATATATAGTTTCTCTTGAGTTTTGCTCTTTTTTTATTAATATTTAATATTTCCCCCCTGACATATAGTTTGGGTGTACTAATTTTGGACCATTATCATAAGTTATTTTGTAACATTAGCTCCAGAATTGGCTTTAGTGGTGACACAAATATAATAATGTAAAGCTTCCTATAGAAAATAGAAAATTTAAATGAGTGCTTTGTAAGGCTCATTTTTATTACTGTTAGCAAATAGAAACAAAACAGACATTGAAAATTACTAATTATGCATTGTTTTAAATTTGGTGAGTTTAATATCTTAGTTTAATAGCCCATCACAATCCAAAAGTGGCAACTATTTTTATAACTAATAAAGTTCAGATTTAATACAACAATTTACATAAAAGTTTCTGTAACACATTACTTCTCACTATTGATGCAAGTAAATGATTTAACTAATGTTTACTAACTTTACTAATAGTGAAGTTGTATCTAATATGCAATATTATCACACCAAATCAGTCAAACAGCAAAATGGTCATCTAAATGGACTTTTATTCTTTGACCAAAAGCAAAAAAAAAAAAAAAATTACGTGTGGTGTTAGATTAACTAACTTAATCTGTATGTATCTCACAACTGAACTAGGAATGTGCCTGTGATATTTAAACCATATGAACACTTATTTTGAGCACTGAAAACAGCTGTAAACTAATTTTTCAGGATTATTTACTGAGAACATTACTGAGAGAACATTTCTGAAGAACTTCACTTGAGGTAACATTCTGAGGTTACATACTTGAGGACATTATAAATCTCTTTACGGTCACTTTTGACTAATTGAATTACAATATTGACAGCTGTTTTGAACAGAGCATAACTGGATATTTGTGTTTATTATGTTTTAGTAATGTCGCCATTTTAAAATCAGAAAAACTTGTTAAAAGAGCGGCGTGTTATCTGCTTATTTCGATATTTGACAATAATCTTTTATGAAATCCAGCTCATGTTAGCTGCTAAGCTAAGTAACTGATTGTGTAAATATGTTAACACCGTTCAAACTGTGAAAAACGTCAAACGTTTGTGAACAATTGAGCAGCTTTGTTGTAACTTATGGGAAGCTGAATGACAGCACGTGAGACGAAAGATACAAAGATTCATTTCTCACCACTCTGCCTCTCTGATGGCTGAACTGTGTGCAGGCTGTAAATAATATCCGGGTCTTGACAAACATACTGACGTCACTGCCACGTATCCTTTGCAGAAAATTCGGTTGTTAGTCAACACAAGGTGGCGCTGCGATTACTATGCTTGAAGTTATGAAGGTAAGAATTTTTTCATTTATTTTTTTATTCTTATATTTTTATTGAAGCATATAACTGACAAGTATACAAGATTACACGCTAACATATGTAGCAGTCATACAAAACTTATTGATGCAGAACATACATTAAATAAAAAATGCTACATAGAGGGATCCATCCTGTTTAAATTATTTGGTTGTACAGATTTGGTTTTTTGAGGTTTTTATAGCCTTCTTGTTTCTTGTAATTAAGGTCAAAGAATTATTAACTATTTTTAAATCTTTACAGAACAAATTAACGGAGGGACTAATAGACATTAATTTTGCCATGTGTGTGTGAAACTTCCCAAGAAAAATTATCAACTTTAAAGCATTATTGAGTGTATCATAGCCACACAATTTTACAATAAAAAAAAGAATCATGCATTCGTCAAAGGTAATTATATTGTAAAATTAATCAAAAATCAACCCTAAAACCTGTTTCCAAAAATAATCAGAAAACTTACAAGTATATAAAATAGATGTAAACAAAAAGAACATTGTGGTGAAATGCCTTTTTAAGATGTATAATTTTAAATCAATTAAAATTATTTTTTTCTTGTTGAATATAACCTATAAAAGTAAAAAAATATATAGTTTCCATTTCAAAATGGCTTTTGGGAAACAACTACTATTTTGAATTAGACATTTTCTGACATGGAAGGTATTACATTTATTTATTTTTTTTTAATCTAGGATACTGATACCACCAAGTAGAGTTTTTGGAATTTGCTTTAAGACTGAGTTATAAATAAGATGAATTTACATTAAGTAAAGCAGTTTATTAGAGATGCTTTTCACAATCAAATTATAATCATTATTATTAGAAAGAATATCCTGATAGATATAAATCTCATCACTGCTATTTTGTAAATCTTAAACAAAAATAATTCCCTGGTCAAACCAATCTTTTTTAGGATAAAAAATTTGCTAAAAAAATAGCTTGGCGGTCAACAAAGAAAATGGTGTTTCAAGCATCAAAACAATCAAAAGCTATTTTTTTCATAGTATTTTTATTACAATTATTTTAATAAAATACATTTTAGTTTGACTGACACAAAAAGTAACAATGTTTATTTACAAATAAAATAAAATAAAAAAATAATAAATTAAATGTCCTTTATGAAATGTTTTCACCATTTAATATTAAAAACTCCAAGTTTTATTCATTTTTTCATTTCAATTGTAATAAAATGTAGTGAATAATGCAACATTATTTCACCCGTTTTGACATACTACTTTCACAAACATTATTTGAAACATTAAATAGACACTTTACTTGCATTAGAATTGCTTGTGGGTCAACGAAGAAAATTGGGTTTCAAGCATTAAATCAATCAAAAGCGTTATTTTCTTAATATTACTTTTTTATCACTATTATTTTAATATAATATTTTGATATTTTATGATATGCATAGAACAAACACTAAAATAGCATTCAGTTTAACAATGTTTATTTACAAATAAAATAATAATGACATGAAAATAAAATAAATTTCCTTTATAAAATGTTTTAAACATTTATTATTAAAAACCACAAGTTTTATTCATTTCAATTGTAATAAAATAAATAAAACAGCGATGCGGTGGCGCAGAGGGTAGCACGCTCACCTCACAGCAAGAAGGTCACTGGTTTGAGCCTCGGCTGGGTCAGTTGGCATTTCTGTGTGGAGTTTGCATTTTCCCCAATGTTCGTGTGGGTTTCCTCGTGGTGTAAAAGACATGTGGTACAGGTGAATTGGGCTGGAAGGGCATCCGCTGCGTAAAACATGTGCTGAATAAGTTGGATGCTCATTCCACTGTGGCGAACCCGGATTAATAAAGGGACTAAGCCGAAAAGACAATATATGGATAAATAAACTGTAATATACTAAATACAGATCAGAATCATTTTTGATTAAATTATCCATCTATTACACTATCCATCTGTTATGTTAAATGATGGAACATTTTTTTCGACCATTTTGACATTCTATTTCCCACAAGTCAGTTTTACTTGCATTAAATGTTTTCTATCTACACTATCTGACAAATAATAACTTGACTTCTAGTTGATCATTTGGAAAAGTTGCAGGTCAATTTTTTTTTTTTGATGAATCATCTGTTGAGCCGCATCCCAATCATCACAACTTCTACAGAAGACCTATTGGAACACGTATGAACCAAAGATTCTCATAGAAATCAGTCAAGTTTGGTGAAAAAAAATCATGATTTGGGGTTACATTCACTATGGGGGCATGCGAGAAATCTGTGGATGGCAACATCTACAGCCTGAGGTATCAAGACATTTGTGTTGCTCAACCACAGGGGAGGATAATTTCTTAAGCAGCATAGCGCTCCTTCTCATACTTCAGCCTCCGCATCAAAGTTCCTGAAAGCAAAGCAGGTTAAGGTGCTCCAAAATTGCCCGGCCAGTCACCAGAGATAAACATTATTGAGCATTTCTTGGGTAAGATGAAGGAGGAGGCGAGGCATTGAAGATCAATGCAAAGGATCTTGATGAACTCTGGAAGTCCTGCAAGAACGTTTTCTTTGCCATTCTAGATGACTTTATTAATAAGTTATTCGATTCATTGCCGAGATGTATGGATGCAGTTCTTCAAGCTCATGAGAGTCATACACAATATTAATTATTTTTCCACTGCACCATCACTTTATATTCTATACTGCACATTATTTCTGTTAAGTGACAAGACTTTTGTCTAAGCAAAGTCAGACCTTACTGTCCTAATTAAATATTTAAAAATCAAGGCATGATCATATTTTATTTTGGTCAAATAAGTGTAATCTAGAGGTCTTGCCTTTTATATAAGCCACTTTTGATACCACATGATCAACTAGAAGTCAAGTTATTATATGTTGCTCCTAAAACTTTGATAGGCAACAAGACTTTTGTCAAGTAGTGTATATAAAATCACTTAATGTAAATGTAACTTTGTGCAATCACCAAAATGTGATGTTGTGTCTTTGACCTGTGTTGGCCTTCCTCATTGTGTTAGCAGAACATATTTAATAATAACTGAACAGAGTTTTCTTCTTAATAGCTTTGAAACTTGTGACTGAGAGAAATGTGGTGATCAACTGTGTGTAGCTTCTAACAAATAAAACAACTTTTGCCTTAATTCCCAAAATGCACGCAGTACAGTTCACTGTATTACCATAAAAATAATTTAACTAAAGGACATGGACTTAAAAGCTGTGACTATCATTGATAAAACATTTCATAAAATCATCCACTTTAAAATCATAACCCTTCCGATGAGAACAAAACAAAGAAAACCGTGTTTACACATAATCTCAATATTCATTCATTCATTATCTTTTCGGCTTATTCCATTTATTAATCTGGGGTCTCAATAATGCTGTCAATTATACAGTCATAATACAAATATTAAATAATTCCTTAAATAACACTGAAAAACTTGCATGTAGATAAGCTGTTTCATCAGAACTAGTCTCTGAACCTGTTAGGAGGGAAGAATAAAGAACATTATACATGATTTTTAGGGACGTTCTATGACCGTTTAAGTTCGTCAAAACTCTTAATGGCAATCAATACATCTGATAAAGGCATAAACTTGTCCATTACCTGCACTGACACTGGCTGTGTTCAACAAACGGCAGCTCGATAATGCTCTCGGCCATATTCCCCTCCGAATCTGTGGCATACTGCTGTAACTGTCGTTTTGTTGAAGCAAAACAAAAAACGAAAAAAGACAAAACATGAGAAAACAAGACAAGATGAAACAAGAGGAAAGAAAACACTGTTATATGCTGAATCAAACATATCCCTATACACTAGCTTGTGTTGACTACCTGAATTATGGTGGTGTGTTTGGCCACATTCACACACACCATAGCCTCATCTGAACAGCATCCCCCACAGCGCTGTAAAGGGACACACGAGGGCACAACATGACCCAGCATCACCTCAGAGAACTCGTCTTCAACTTTAACCAGTGTTTCACGAGGCTTGCAAAGGGTGCTCATGTAGAGCTTCACCACTAAAAGAGAGAAATCGATAACTTAGAACAGTGTTTCCCAACTCTGTTCCTGGTGGCACACCAAACATATTTTGAATGTTTTGATGAGGGGAAGGTAAAGATAACAATGGTAATTAATAAACTGTACACAAATCCTGGTTGCCTTAAAATTTAAAGCTGAATCAAATTAATCTCATGAGTCCATTGAGCTTATATTTTGTAATCTGACTTAAAAGTGCTTGCATAACTTAAAAATTAAGATAGAATATAGAATCGTTTAATAAGTTTCAATGAACTAAAAACAAATGCTGTCATGACTAATTGTTTACATATTTTTACAGTGTAGTTACATTTAAAAATAACATGCAAATATAAAGCTATCAGCCTTTCCATGTTAACAATGTTTGTTCCATTGGATTTTAACCCATAGGAAGGATTTTTTCCATTGGTATTGCGACTCCTATGAACAGCATATGGCTACACACAGCATATGGCAAGCCATTTAAGCTTAAAATCTTACCAAGTTATTTGTTACAAATGCATTTTTAGTTACAAATTCATTACAGGGATCTACAATTAAATGATTACTCTTATCAATTCCTATTAGAAAGCCTATCTAATCAGTTCTTAACAATTACAATTAAAGAGATCTCTAAATTAAACATTTCCAGTTTAAAATTATTTTGTCTACTAGTCATGTAGTCATTCATTTCCATTAATGTTTAACTATAGATCTCTATAATTGAACCTTTACTAAGAATCCTGATTAATAGGATATACAATTAAATTTGACTTGCATTGATTCAGGTTAGAGACCCCTGCTTTATTACTGCTACTTGTAATAAGAGAACACTCTAATTCAATTCATATAAAAAGCAATAACAGAGCTCTAGAATGTACTTTTTACTAGTAAAAAGTCTCTGTTTTTAATTTTTCAAGTAATAATTTAATTTACCCAGACATTAAGATTTGTATTACAGAGCTCTCTGATAGTAATTCCCATAGAATTCATATTAAAGAGCTCTCTAATCTTAAATGTTACCAATAGGCATGCAGTTCATGAGTAACTCTGCTCATACTTTTAGCTTCAAGCTGCTTTTCATTTACATTAAAACATGATAGTGAGTGTCTGTGAGAGATCATACCTTGATGGTGAGGATGCTGTGGGATTAAAGATACAAAAATTTGATTAATATATTAGTTATTATGATTATATTAGTGATTAATTATGACAAGATTGTTCTTTTTGCTCATATATTTGTTGTTAATGATATTTCAGAAAACACTTTGCTTTGTACATTTTGAGTTTGCCCCAAAGTAATAATTGGGTATATGCACACAGATATTTAATTTCAGCCAGCCAGCCTCAGTGCCTCGTTCGCCACGTTTTAGGTCTGATTTCTTTAAAAATCTGTGATCTTCACTGCTGGATAGTTATACGGTATAAAGTGGGTCTCAGACCAGGCAAGCACTGCATTAAACTTAATTTCCCCCACCATGTCATTAAAATATTAAAACCATTTATTTTACCCCAGTATTTTCAATGGAGTTTCTGTACTCGCCTGCTGATCCTGACGGCCCTAGCATTAACACTGTCTTTCAGCTCATTTTACACTTGAACAAAATGAATGAATAAGTCTATTTAGCTGATTAAATTTTAATTACATTACAACATCAATGCTGTAAAAGAAACCTTATAGAATTGAAAATTGTCACGTTATGCTTTCAACATTGGCTGAAAAACACTGGCTGTGCATAAAACCAATTCTCTCATCATTTACTTGCACTCCATTTATTCCAGACCTGTTTGAGTTTCTTTCTTGAACCCAAAGGAAGATATACTGAAGAATGTTAAAGAAAAACTTCCAGTGTTTTTCTTCCTAATTATTGCAGAATCTTTCCAATATTCTTGTCTTGTCTTACGTTCAACATTAGTGTGAGGACATTTTCATTTCATTTCATCAGAATCCATTTAATTAAAGAGAGACGGATTCTAAATTAAAAACCAGTCAGCGATTCCAACAGTGTATATTAATAATTACAGGAAAGCTTCATTCAATTTCAGAATCACCAGCAGGTCACTAAAAGTTAAATCATAGCACGTAGCATTTGTATGGTACGGTATTGTCCATGAAACCTGAGAAACTGAGCAGAAATATGTGCAACTAAATATTTGTGGAGCCTATATTATTAAATTAGCCTACACAAAGAGATGCGATTACCTTAAGCACGTATGCATCTTACGTCAATCACACATCTTACGTCAAATACAACGCCTACGCGTAATCACACACGCACTGACTAGAGTTTAACATCCTTCCGTGCATTTTAGAAACCACTCCAACTGGTTATACTACTACCACTGACTTACTTAACATTAAGTTAACCAAGCTAACAGAAAAACTTAACATACTGAAAATTAAGTAAAATAAAATTAAGTTCATTTTAAGTAAAAAATGTACACAATATATGCAAATTAATAATCACAACATATATACAGTATGTATGTATATTTTACCTGGGCTTGAGTCACCGCTGCCTGATGGTACATGAGATAAAACACAAACAGAAGAAAACCCCGCATTATTCTAGATGAATAAGTGCACTGCAAGACAAATTTTAGACTGACGTCAAATTCTGTTACAGTCTTCATTTGAAATCTTTTCCCCATTTAACTGTTAGTCATATTCTCATGATGACACTGTATTGCAAAATATATCCTGTCCTGAGGTGGTTATTTACTGCGTGCACTTTACCATAGAATCTACATGTATTTTGTGCTATTTCTAAATAATAGCACACATTAAATCATAGAAATAAATATACATTGTAAAATATTAATTCTACAATAAAAAAAAGATTGATGCCCCTGGTGCTTTCAAATATTTCCTATGTATTCTTTTGAGAGTGCAAGTACAGTCATATGACTGGTGATAATGAAGTGAATCAAAGTTGATCAGTTCTCATGTAATGTACATGTTGACAGGGTCAAATTGTTAAGGCAAAGTGACTGGGTCATCGTACCTGTCAAAACAAGTGCCCAAAAATTTCTTAAGCACAATGGCATCAAAGGCCATCCTGTTCGGTTTGAGCCAACATATTGTATACTGTGCTACAAGTGAAAAAAAAAATAATGTTATGAGATAAATCTCACTGCATTTTTCTCCATAGCTAAACATTGTAATCATAAGAGTGCTAATGATGAGCCATTGGACATCATAAAATGGCAGGGGGTCTAATTTTTAATGAGCTGGACTTGTAACATCACTCCCTTCCAGTTGCAGTACCCACAACTGAGGTGCCCTTGGGCAAGTTGCTGTTTAGCTATAGGTTTGAAGATGAAGAGGTAAATATTTTGTCCTCTCTTTAAAGTTCTCCGAATCTTAATTCAAGTAAGAATCTGTGACGTGCTGGATCAACACATTTGATCCACCTCATAATCTACAGGTCTAAAAGAATCTGTTGGGGATGTATGCAGTTTTGGAAGTATACAGAAAACCAAGAGCATGTTAGGCAGATGGTCAATATTTTGGCTCACCTATCAATTTATGCATTTTATTGGAATTAAAATGCAAGTCAAAAAGAATCAAACATTCACTTTCAAACTATACTTAGTTTTGCACTTTATTTGTCAAAAAAACAGCAGCAAATGAGTTTGTGCACTAGGTGGAATGCAATGTCTATCAGTTATTATAGATTCAAGAGCTGTGTCTGAGTGCACTAATCACTGACAGAAGGCTGAAAATGTTTTCTTTTTTTTTTTCTTTCAATATCATAAAGCCTCAAGAGAAGGTCCCTTTTGGTATCAAACCAATGTTAAAGTATACACAAACAATTAAAAGACAAAAGATATAGCGCTCACCCCTCATACTTGATCACATAAAAAATAAACAGTACATTACAATCTTAAAAGTTTGGTTTTATCCACCTAATAGCAATAAATGTGGTAATTTAAATGCTCAGAGTGCAAGTCTGACTTTAAGAAATACGGCAAAATATGATGAAGCCTTTCAGTTGGGAGCTCATCACTTTACCGGCAGACTACTACTGATTAGCAGAGGTATGTTCTGAGCAGGTCTGGGATGCGCTTTGGAAACAAACAGGAACGAATCAAGCAATTACAAATGCACTGAAGCAGGTCTGGTGCTCAAATCTGACCCCTATACACAATGCTGGTGTTCACTTTGAGTGGGACATTCAGTGGATTCTAAACCCACGGTTAGTCTTCATCTCAGCGCTGATGCATAAAAGCCAGTTCAGGTGCTCCAGCGGTCATGATGATAAATGTCGTGCCAGACCAGTCCATGACCATCAGCTCAGCCTGTCCCTTCGCCCTCGTCAAAACAGCTTGATCATGCTTTCTCTTGACTTGCCAACACCAACCCACTTCACTGAAAAGAGAAACATATTTGTATGTGTAAGCATGCCAGTATGTAGTGTTAAGTAGTGGTACTTCAAATTTTAAACATGTAATGGCATTAGCTTTTCTGCAGTACACCTAAAATTCCTACTGACAGGCATGTGTTATTTTGACTTAAATAAACAGAACATTAAGGTCTGTGTATGTTACCTGGCACTTGCAGAAAATCCTCAATAAATTTAATGTAGCTTTGTGCCTGTGTAGGCAGCTCATCGAAGCTGCGCACTCCCTCAGTGCTACAACTCCAGCCAGGGAACGTCTCATAAGTCACCTGAACCTTTGTGAGCACGTCCATGTTTGCTGAAATATAAAACAAAAGCTCTCCATTATGAACGTACTAACCAAAACTAATAACTTACTGCTGCACGCAAGAAAGTTTCAGACTGGTTATGTCGTTCATGTCTCACCCTCAATGCAAGTAAAACTGTGGGAATGTTTTTTTCAATTAAGAAAAATGAGGAGCATTGCTCAGATATTTTAGTTAATGGAGTAGTAATAAATATAGTTAATCATTTTAAATATTTAGGTACAGTTTTGACTCTAATTTAAATGTTAAAAAACACATTTAAAAGTTTTCCAAAAGTGCTACAGCAAACCTGAGGATTTATAAACTTCAGGCATCAGTTACCTATGAGTGCTGCTAAACTTCTTTTATGAACACAATGATTTTCCCTTATTTATTTTATTGTGCTACAAACTGGTCCCAAACAAACATTACAACATTAAAACCATTGTATATTACCTGTAATTACTGCCATCATTACTGTAACTGTTTTGAACACCATAAATTACATTTGACAGTTTCTTATTTTATCCTGACGTGTGTTTAATGTATAAAATATTTCATGATCTTGCACCACCTCCTCTCAACAATGTGTGATTGTCTGCAAGGACAATACAAGACAGACTAGGTCATCGGTTAGAGGTGATTGTTCAGTTAAAGTCAAGAGAACTGTTTCTGGACGATCCGTTTTTTCAGTCAGAGCAACATTAATAAAACTGTTCTTAAAATTTGGTCTAAAGAAAATCAAATATGCCGCCACTGATTTGATTTCATTTTATTGACAATGATGTATTGTATGTATTGTACAGTAAGTGTATATTGTATTATTAATATTTTTTTATAGTTAAACCTGTTACAACTTCCTGGTTTATAGCTAACTCTGGCACATGTCATTTTGTACATTATCCCTGTATAAAATAAATAAATAATCAATTAAATAATAATACGTGAGTAACATTACACTGAGTGATGAAATCTAAAAACAGGAGCAGGTTCCTTACCAGGAAAACTGGGAAGAGGCTTTCCATCAACTGTGTAGGCTGTGCCAATCTTTATTTCAGGCAATGTGTCAAGAATGTCCAACTTAGTCAGCGCAATGCTAAGAGAAATAGAAGAATAAGTGTTGTTTAATTAATTATAAGATTACCAACACCTTGCAGCAAACAAAAAACAACTATAAAAACTAACAATTCATAATTACCTCCTAATAAATTCATTAGTAAACCATTTCAACATGTTAATTTGGATAAACCTGTTATACAGATACATAAAAGGTCCCAACGATACAAAGTATCGGAATAAATAATTTAAAAGATCGAATAAAACATAAAACTAATGTTTTAAATGAGCAACATTTCACAATATTGCTTGCATTTCTTATATGAAAGCATTCTAATGAGTGTTTCATTTTAAAAAGTATTTGGCCTAAATAGGTTTAATAAAACCTGATACATGCTTTAAATGCAGAGAGGCTCAGGGTTTATTTGTGCATTGTGTTTGGGAATGCAACATTATTAGAGACTTTTGGGTGGAAGTGATTAATATTACAAAGATAATTGTACCTTGATTATTTCACTAGATGCAAAAATGATTTTGCTACATTTATACCTAAAGAACCTAAAACTAAATCTTCAGCAACGCAAATTCATAGATTATGCTATATTACAAGCTAAAAGAATGATAGCTCTTAGCTGGAAAAGACCTGATCCACCATCTATTGGAACTTGGATTAATGCCATGGCACAGTGTATGTATGTAAAATATGTAACATATTTTACTAAAAACAAAATAGATGAATATGAAGAAATATGGAAGCCGTTTAATTACTAAATTAAAAACAATAATATTGGTCATTTATTACAAGAGGTGTAACGAAGTATAGAGTTTTTTTTATTTATTTGTGAGTGTGTGTGTGTGTGTGTGTGCTTCGTTTTGTTGGATAATGTAACTTGTGTGTAAAATACAGTAATGTATACTTGGTTTTTGGGTACCTAGCAATTTTTGTTTTGCAAATTGTCTCTTGTGTGAGAATTCTGTGTATTTCTATAGGGGAGAAGAGAGTGTTGTTCTTTTGTTGGGGTGTGAAATAATTGTGACGAAATGGAATAGTGTTTTTCTGTTACCTGTCTTGCAAAATCAAAAACAATAAACACATTGTTAAAAAAAAAAAAAACAAGTATTTGGCCAAATGTTTGAATGAAAGCACATGTAAAACACTCAACACAACTTACGCTGAAAACCCGTTAACCATGTGGGCATAGCGAACCAAAACCAGATCCAGCCACCCACAGCGCCGCCGCCTGCCTGTTGTAACTCCAAATTCCCTCCCTCTGCTCTGCAGCAGATCTCCAATTTCCTACAAAATGAAAGAGTATTAAAAATGTTCAAACATAAAGACAAACAAGAGAATGTCACTGAATATTAAAAAATGATTAACTATTTCCAACCCACAAAAACACTCACATTGTTCTGCTCAGTGGGAAATGCCCCGACTCCAACCCTGGTGGTGTAGGCCTTCACCACTCCATATACACGGCCAACATGAGATGGGGGGACGCCAAGACCTGTGCAGACGCCTCCAACAGTGCAGTTTGATGAGGTCACAAAGGGGTAGGTCCCTGAGAGACATGGATACATCTAAAGTTAAAGAGATGCTTCGCCCACAAAAGTAAAATGTGCTGTTCATTTAGGGCTGTGCCAATGCCAATGAACTAGCGCCAACATAACTAAATTTGTTGTCAGCTTGCGTTGGCCACATCTGGACCACAAAGCTGCACATGAACACAATAAACGAATGGCAGCTGACAGAAAAGGAGAGCATGCTTAATGCACCTGCATGAGAGCAAGTGTTTTTCAGCCCCATAACCAGAACTTCCCACGCTCAACGCAACGTGTTGTTCCATTATTTCAGTAATTGTCACTCACCCAGGGGGATTAGCTTGTGCAAACTTGTCTGATAATCTTATAAACCACATAGTTTGCAAACATTTGAAAAATGTAGCAAAATTACAGACTACTTTTTGTTGCTACTTTACTTGAATGTTTTATTTGGTTATGTCACTTCAGCTTTTGTTCTCAGGCTCTTACTCACTGCTGAATAACCAATCAGAGCACACTCTTCAGCCGATGGCAGATACTGAATCTGAATCTGATCTGGTCTACTTAATCTCAAAATAAGCCGACTAGATGCAACATGTGAAACACCAAAGACATACCAAAAAAAAAAAAAAACATACAGGCTAGACAAAATTAATACATGTGGCTTCAGTTGAAACACTGAGGTCTCACAGTAAAACTACTGGTCTGTACAAAAACTAAACCTTGCAACATCTACTTTTAATCCACAGCCTCAGCAAAAGTTGCTAGAGTGCAAGTTACAGACTGATTATGAGTGAACCGTGCATCACAAGACCTCAAGTTATCTTCACAGAGTTCCCACTCTTAGCCAAATATCAATGTCCCTGACTTTCACTGACTAAGAAGCTGAACTTACACAGCCTTTGATGAACAAAAAAAAAAAGGAGCTGTTGTGTTTTGCACAATATTACAATTAATGAATGTCATTTTACATGAATATAAAAGCCACCATTAGAGCAACTATGTAAAATTGACCCTGGATTTTGAATGGATATTAAGAGAAGCAAATATCATTGTTTTTTAACTTAAGATATTTTAAATACACAAAACAAAAACAAGTCCTATTTATGCAAGAATATTTCTCATACCAAAATCAATATCCAGTAAAGCAGCATTGGCTCCTTCCACCAGAATCTTCTTGCTTGGTCCAGTGAGGGCTTTGTGCATGAAATAAACCCCATCAGTCACTAGTGGCCGTAATCTTTCAGCAAAATTCTGCAAATGGAGTAAATATTATTTACAGGTTCACAACTGAGAAGGTACCAAATTGAAAAATGCAGCGATGCTAATAATCACCTTGAGCTGCTGAAGCTCAGCATCAATGTCAATGTTAAGATTAGGATAAGTGGTCTGATAATGTCCAGCCAGCACCCGAAACCTGTGGAGAACAAATTACATATATTAATCTTTCAGTTGACATTTGTTGAGAATACCGCCAGGATTTCTACAGGATTCATCAAGTCAAATTTAAGACTTTTTGAGACCATTATGAAAGAAATTTCAGGCTTACACAAGGCTAAACACCAAGTATTTTTACTAATGGCCCAGTTAAAACATTTAAATAACCATTAAAAGCAAATGTTATTGTAAGGAAGATAATTAAACTATATCAGTAAATGACGTTAATATATAAACTTGTGTTAAAACTTTTATTGAGATGGAATGTCAGTGTTCTGGATGGGCGTTAGCCCGATTACATGGACATAGGGAAATTAAGACCCTTTTAAAATGACCTACAACAGAATATTTCAGTGAATTTAAGACTTTAGGACCCCGCAGATACCCTGATCTTATGCAAGTGGCCTAAATAAAAGGTTACTGAAATAAAATGGTAAAATAATTAAATTATTTAATATTAGCAACAAAAATAACATATAAAATAAAAATGTAATCTTAATATTCATTCATTCATTTTCTTGTCGGCTTAGTCCCTTTATTAATCCAGGGTCGCCACAGTGGAATGAACCGTCAATTTATCCAGCAAGTTTTTACGCAGCGGATGCCCTTCCAGCCGCAACCCATCTCTGGGAAACATCCACACACACACATACACTACAGACAATTTAGCCTACCCAATTCACCTGTACAACATGTCTTTGAACTGTGGGGGAAACCGGAGCACCCAGGGGAAACCCCCGCGAACACAGGGAGAACATGCAAACTCCACACAGAAACGCCAACTGAGCCGAGGCTCGAACCAGCGACCTTCTTGCTGTGAGGCGACAGCACTATCTACTGCGCCACTGCTTCCCGCAATCTTAATATTTCACGATTAAAGTACTGTTTTGCTAAAGAATCAATTGGAAATCTCTCATACTCACTTTTCTTCAAAGACAGAGAAGTCGGAGACCAGATCACACACTCTCAGTCCATTACGTGCTGCTTTGGAGGAGTATGCAGGTCCAATACCCTTCTTAGTTGTGCCCAAACTGTAAAACAAAGCGTAAACTCAATATTAATCAAGTAAAAAAAATTAAGCAACAACAAAAAAACTTATCTACAAAGCAACTGTTTCCATGCAAAATGAAAATAACTCACTTTTTTCCTGCCTGCTGTTGTCTGAGCTGCTCCTGTATGCCATCAACAGCCTGGTGGAAGTTGAACACTATATGAAAAATCAGAAGAGCTTTAACTTCAACAGAACAGATATCAAAGTGTTTGTATTTGAATGAGACAACCGTTGTACAAAGTCAATGCCATCTGCAGCACATCTCAATCACTCAGATGAAGGTCAGATGAAGTCAAAACAGAAAAGTACCAATGTGTGCCCGGTCAGATATCTTCAGTCGTTCCTCCCATCCTTGAAGTCCTGCATTATACAAAGCAAAAGAACACAGAATTGATACAAAAGCAGAAACACAGCTTTCAGTTCATTATTAAAACACTATCTTGATTAACAGAACACATGGGACTTGTGGGACACTGGGACTTCTGAAGCTGCATATAGATGGATTTGCGCTTAAGTGTTTGGACTTTCAGCAGTGAAAATTAAACTACACTGAACTGAACTTCAACTCTGAAAACTTGCCTGACAGTTTCAATTTACTAGAACGTCTATGTCAAGCTGCTTTGACACAATTTACACTGTAAAAGCGCTATAGAAATAAAGGTGAATTGAATCGAACATCCTCAAAGCGTATTTCAATGGGAAAATGGAAAAAAAATAAATAAATAAAACTTGCCAGGAATACTTAGAGCAAGAATAATGTGATAAAAGATTATTTACAGATCACAGTGCAGCCAGAACCTTACTAATTTAGAGATTAGTTTTTTTTTTAAATGTTGACACCATGCTTTAAATCACAACTTTCAGTTACTGAAAACCAAATTAAATTAAACACAGCATTATATGTACTTCTGCTGAATGATAATCATTTTGTTAAAAAAAATTGACATTTTATATTTGAAAGAAAGGACTTTCTAAATACGTTTTATATGTATTTTTGCCATTTCGCAAAATTTTAATTGATGCAGATACAGAATGTGATGCCTGAAGCACTTGTGTACATATTAGATATGGGACGATAACCGTTTTCAATGTTTACAGCGGTTTGGAAAAGTCAAGATTTTAAAACCGCCAAACTATTCTGCTATACCGTTCCTAAGGTATGTGTAAGGTTTTTGTTTATTTGTTTGTTTGTTTTTTAGGACAACAATATCTCCAGCAGAAGAGATATCCAAGGATGCCGTTTTAAATTGTAAAGAAATCAGTGTTTTTGAAACTAAAGTCAATAATTTATTGGAATTATTTATCCTGACATGTTTACTGCTCCAAAATATTTTGAATGTTTCTCAAAATAAAATAGATTGTGTTAAAAAAAGTTAGATTTTTTTTGCCAGACATTTAAAAAATATATATATTTTGGAGAAGTAATCAATACCGTGATACTGTGATATTTTTATCCAAGGTTATCATACAGTCAAAATCTGTACAGCCCATGCCTAGTACATATAAATATGTATTATACAATACATGCACATATAATATATAACTAATTTAACCACTACTTTTTCCACCTCACATTTCTTTGTGTCTTAAAATACTTGCCATCACAACAATGTAAGGAAGATTAGCTTATTGAATAATTTTCATATTTTTTATTGGTCACAATTTCTATTGTTTTGCAAAACAATGCAGGTCCGCTACTGATACACAAATACTACAACACATACATTTAATGTATTTTACTCAATATCCAGATTGTGGATTGAAACACTTACCATTGCCCTTCTGCAAGTTCTTCTCTGCCTCGTCAAAGAGTCCTGGCAGGTGTATCACAACACCATTTCCTGTGAGACAAAACAAGATCAAGATCAACATACACGGGCAACATCTGATCCAAAACGCAATGAGTCGAACAGTACTAAGATCTTACTAATAGTACAATCTAGGGGGCAGCAAAACAACAAATAATTTAACAGGAAGGTCAAACAAACAATACCAATAAAGGAAGTGGCCTTTTTGTTGAGAACTCCGCTGGGCAGCAGGTGGAAGTCATACTCGACCGAGTCCACGACCACAGTGTGTCCCGCGTTATTTCCACCCTGCACAAACACTGACGTTATCAACACGAGCGGGAGTATCGCGATAAGATCAAAATGAAGACGAAACAAATCATGGACAGGTTACATCACTAGTTCTACCGCCAACAAGTGGCAATGACAAAAACAACAATTCGGAAAACTTTGTTTCGCCCTGTGAGGTTAGAGATGCGACTTGTGAACGCGGGCATTTCCGCTTTTACACCAATAACATTGCCTAATGAAACTAAATCTCAGGTAGCAGATATTATATCTCCGCGGCGAACTCTTATTAAACACACAATGATAAGCGGCTGGAAACCCACCTGGCATCTGCATACAATGTCGGCGTCCATTGCCAAGAGGTCGACCACTTTCCCCTTCCCCTCATCGCCCCACTGCGCGCCCAGCACTACGGTCACTTTATTCTGGGGCTCCCGCGGGACCCGCAGTGAATCCAGACTGTCTCTGGAGCGTTTGAGCGCCGGTTCGCCGTTCAGACACGCCGTTTCCTGACCATTAGACATTGTGCTGTCCGCTGCCATGCTGAAACTAAGCGAGGGAACAACGTGAACGCGGTACCGACACAATTGCGCGCGAGATTGGCCTTCAGATTCACAATAAAAGTCCGGGGGCTAAAAGTTAACAAAAGAGGTGCTTTGGTTTGCACATGCAGCCATGAAAGCTCCACATAAAGAACGTGCGTGGTTGTAAAAGAGTTATTGAAGTAAATTCAGAGTACATAAGACATGAAGCTATTGAAATGATTTTTAGTAAATTGAAAGTTTTCGGCTCTTATCATTTGTGACTTCACAGTCGTATTTTGGCGGGTTGTACCCATAGTAGACTGTAAAAATTGTTGTTACGGGAATATGTCTTTGTTTTGGCTACTAAACATATTTGTATTTTTTTATTATTATTATTTGCTCATACATAACAGCTCTAATAACAAACGACTTTACAATCTAATTATCTAGCAGAAACCTGAATGTTTGCCTTAATGCAAGTGAATAAAATTAAAAGTTATCAAACCAAAGTCAATTTTCTTAAATCTTTAAATATGCAGATGATGCATTGTTTCAATCTGATTTGCATACATTTCTTGCACAAAAATGAATGTTGTATCAAGTCTGGTTCAAATATTTTGTTTGTTTATTTGACATTAAGAGACACTGAGAGAAGTTTGGGTTTATTTTTATCACTTCATAATTCAGAAGAATACACTGCTTAATAAAGTAGAATAAAATGTAATATACAAGCACATTATCTATGAGCAAGTCCTGTAAAATCCTTCTGAAGATATGAAACAAACTGAAGATGAAAGTGCTGCTATTTAAGACAAAAACAACTCGTGTTGTATTTTAAATCTACTGACACAAGTGGATAAAGTGTGATCAAATAAATACTAATGTGTATTTTGAATGCTTTCCTTCAATTAGACTGAAAATTAAGCACTTTACGAAAAGCAGACAGAAATCTTAAAATTGAGAGATGCATGAAAAATGTTTTTTTCCCCGATAGTGTCTCAGCTGAAAAACAAACAAACTAGTTTTTCAAAGTGCATAAGCTATTAGGGCTGCACAGTATATCGTTTCAGCATAGATGGGTCAATATAAAGTGTCTTTGATGTCACACAAGATTGTAATGCAAAATAAGGAAATTCTGATGTTTCAATTGGTTAAACCTTTTCACACATGCAGGTAGAATTATAAGTGTTCTGAAATATCTTTTTGCCACATTCTTTCATTGATTGCATGTGATTTTGCCATGTCACACACTGCTCAGCCAACTTCGGTGAGTCTAAAAAGTAGCTAAATTCGATAGAATGTAAAGATTTTAAAATATTCTTATTGTCTTCAACAAGTTATTTGATAAAATAAGTCATTTTAATAACTTTTTTTTGTATTTATAGTAATAATAATAATTTTGCACGTGTCCTTGAAATTGTTGTCCACCATGTAATAATGTGGTAAATGCCTATTTAAGAAACCCTCTGATGTACTCATTGACACCCCCTGCCCATTTTTCTTCAGAGGAGGTTAAAACATCTGATCTGCACACAGCAGGTATCTACAATTATGTTTCCTATTTTTACTCATATTATGTTTGTAACTGAATGTTGTGAAGCTTAACATGTCAACCCTGTCATAGTGAAATATTAATTACAATTTTTTTTTCAGAAATTGAAAATATAGCTTTTAAACTGTATACAAGAAGCTTAAATAGGGAAACACTTTGCCAGCTGTAAGTACAACCTGTTGAATAAATGTCTCAAAGGCTTTTTATAGTGATAATGACCCAGATACCTAATGACCCAGAACAAGTTAAAAGTCTTATAAAACTAGCCATAACTATACCATTTTAATCAACTAGATGTTTAAAGAATAGCTGACCACCTAAGAGCAGGTATCTATTAGATTAGCATAAACATGCTAGAGAAAGTATGCTCTAAAGCTTGACAACGCAGGCTACGTCATGAACCGCAAAGCAGCTTAAGCTTGTTATCTTCTTTTCTCACAGCAGCAGTACATTGCTTTAGAACAACGGACAATGTTATCAATCAAAACCCTTTCAGACACCTTTGTAGGAGAATGTTGGATATCTGTTAGTTGTTGTTTGTTGCTTGCCTGTCTGTATGTTGGGAGTCTGTATGTATGGAAGGGCAGCTTACCCAGGTAGCGATGGAAGTCAGCAGTTTAATTTAAATGTATGTTTGATTCCTTATGCTCTGTTGTGTTTTGTATGCTATTTAGGGACCACCCAAATACAATAAAACGGCGTTTCACCAGTGTTTTGTGTGTGTCAGCTGTTGCACCACTAGTTGTATTGGCCTGGACACACTCAATGAAACTCAGGGTGAGTCTGGGTTGACAGGTAGATTACATACTTTTTAGGTCCTGTCTCAAGTATTCATTCATTTACTTTATATAAATTATATTTTATTTTTATTACAGCCAAGTCCACCACTGTGGGCACTTCTGGGCATTCGTCTGGAGGGCTTTGTACCTGCTGCTGTGCTGCCACTGACACTTACTATGGTATGTCATTTCTGTCTTCTCATTATTCCTCTTCTCCATTTCCTCTAAATAAATGTGTACAGTAACATGCAACCTGATGATTATAAACCAGACCTGACCTTATATTAGTTAACTGATAAAAAATCTATAATGTTTCACCACTTTTCAGTTGATGGGTTAGTTCACCTAAAAATGAAAATTTTGTTGTTAATTACTCACCCTCATGTCTTTTCAATCATGAGACCTTCGTTTATCGATAACTCCCTCATCCTCCATTGACAGACACAGTCCAGAGATGTTTAAAATCAAGAAAAGAAACCAAAAACAGTCAAAACATTCCATGTGACTTCAACCAAAATACTGTTTAAACATCTTTGTTAGGCTGGTTTTTGCTTAAGATTGGAGTGCATGTTTTTATACACAATGGTGAAAATGAAAAATCAATCAAATATCAACATCATTCCATGTTGTTATGGGTGATCAGAATAACATTGTGTTTAGACGCTGGCTAGATATTGAATTTTGGTCAACTGAAATCACAACCTAAATCGAACCTAACATTAGCATCTGATGACTTTGTGTGTCCACTGGACAATGACTAAATGCACTACAGAATGTTACGTTGGTCACACTTTACAATAAGGTTCATTATTTAATGTTAATTAATGCATTTACAAACATGAACAAACAATGAACAATACATTTACTACAGTATTTATTCATGTTAGTAAACGTTAGTTAATGAAAATACAGTTGTTCATTGTTAATTCATGTTAACTCACGGTGCATTAACTAATGTTAACAAGCATGGACTTGGATGTTAATAATGGATTAGTAAATGTTCAATTATGATTAATAAATGCTGTAAATTGTGTTGTTCATGATTAGTTCATGTTAGTAAATGCATTAACTAATGAACCTTATTTTAAAGTGTTACCGTTACGTTTACACTCACATGCACAAATTACATGTAAACGCATTCGCTTTTTACAGCGTAATACTCACTACTCTTGAGTAGTTTTGAAAGAGCTACTTTTTACTCATACTTTGATTAATATTTACAACAGAAACTTAACTCTACTTGCGTTACACTTTTAGGCAAGTAATGGTACTTTTACTTAAGTATGATTATTCAGTACTCTTTCCACCACTGACTATACTTAATACGCGTTGCGCTGCTGACTTTCATATTGTCTGTAATAAATGTGGACCGTAATCTTTTTGGCACACAAGTGTTTTTGGAGCTAAGTAAGATTACAGTTAAAACACTGAAGTCGCATGGAATGTTTTGACTGCTTTTGGTTCCTTTTCTGGACTTTTCTTGATCGTGGCAGTCTATGGAGGATGAGAGAGCTCTGGGATTTCATCCAAAGTCTCTTAATTTGTGTTCTGTAGATTAACGAAAGTCTCAGGCAATTGAAACAACATGATGGTAAGCATTTACATACAGAATGTTCATTTTTGCATGAACTGAGCATTGAACCAGAAATTACCCCATGCAGAATCTTTCTTGAAGGACTACAGACATACAGAATAACTTTTTATTGTGTGTTTTTGTTTATTTAATTTGTGCAGGTGCTTTTCCTTGGACCTCTGACCCAGCTAGCAGTTGAAAGCCCAAGAGGACTTTTTCATGATGTTAAAGCAGGTTTAAGTGAGTCAGGGGGAAAACGCAGGCACACAGAAACATACAACTATACACTCACCGGTCATCTTATTAGGTACACATGTCCAACTGCTCGTTAACGCAAATTTCTAACCAGCCAATCATGGCAGCAACACAATGCATTTAGGCATGTAGACATGATCAAGATGATCTGCTGCAGTTCAAACCAAGCATCAGAATGTGGATTTAAGTGACTTTAAAGGTGGCATGGTTGTTGGTGCCAGACAAGCTGGTCTGAGTATTTCAGAAACTGCTGATCTAGTAGTACTTTCACGCACAACCATCTCTAGGGTTTAAAAAGAATAATCTGAAAAAGGCAAAATATTTTTTATATATAGAGGAGAATGGCCAGACTGGTTCGAGCTGATAGAGAGGCAACAGTAACTCAAATAACCGCTCGTTATAACTGAGGTATGCAGGAAAGCATCTCTGAAAGCACAACATATCACACGTTGAGGTGGATGGGCTACAGCAGCAGAAGACCACATCGGGTGCCGCTCCTGTCAGCTAAGAACAGGCAACTGTGGCTAAATTTCACACAGGCTCACTTAAATTGGACAATAAAAGATTGGAAAAACCGTTGCCTGGTCTTCTGATGGCTACTTTCAGCAGGATAACATGCCATGTCATAAAGCATGAACCATCTAAGACTGTTTTTTTTAACACAACAATGAGTATGTACTCAAATGGCCTCCACAGTTGTCAGATTTCAATCCAATAGAGCAACTTTGGAATGTGGTGGAACGGGAGATTTTTGCATCATAAATGTGCAGCCGACAAATCTGCAGCAGCTACGTGATGCTTTCATGTCAATATGGACCAAAATCTCTGAGGAATATTTCCAGTAGGCTACCTTGTTAAATCTATGCCACAAAGGATTAAGGCAGTTCTGAAGGCAAAAGGGGTCCAACCCGGTACTAATAAGGTGTACCCAATAAAACGACCAGTGAGTGTATATTTATTAGCCACCGGCCACTTTTTTACAGGTAAAGACCATTTTAACTACTTTTTAAAATTGTTTGTTTGACCAAATAATACCAGGCCCTAATTGTCAAGATGCATATATGGCTCTGTCTTTATTATGTGCATGTTTGTGTATAACAACATTACTGGAGTATATTTTACAGGCAAATACTATTTCAGTCATTCTACTTAAAAAAAATGTTTAAATAAATCAAAGTAAATTTACTTATTATGCAATGCATGCAGTATTGTAATTGTTACATTATGTTTATTGATTTGATTCGTGCATGTGTAAAACAATACTATTAAAATTGAAAACTGTATTACTATATTCAGTCTTTCTACTTAAAATTATGTTAAATTAAACTAAATTAAATATTTTTATTAACTCTTACTGCAATTTAATTTCATGTTTTTCTTAAAAAGCAGATTGTCAGTCCTGGAGCAAACAGGTGAAAGATTTGAAATGGTTGAGGAATCATGTGGTGGCCCCGTTAACAGAGGAGTTTGTTTTTCGAGCTTGTATCATCCCCATGTTGGTGCCATGCACTGGTCCCACATCTGCCATCTTCATTAGTCCGCTCTTCTTCGGTGTGGGTATGTAAAAATAACAAAATGTAAAACACACATTGTTCTTTCAGCAGATGGCGATGTTGAGCTCTGATAATAAGCTGTGAACTCGGAATACTTATGTGTATGTGCTTTTAGAGGGATTCTTTAAAAGCCAAAACTGAATGCTGTCATAATTTACTTCTCCTTCACATACCTATTTAAGTTTGTTAAACACAAAAGAAATGATATTGCAAAAGAAATGATATTGAACTGCTATAGCATTCTTTAGAATATCTGCTTTTGTGTTTGACACAATAAAAAACTCATAAATGTTTGGAAACACTTGAGGGTGAGTAAATAGTAAGTAAATGTTCTTTTTTGGGAGAACTATCCCTTTAAGAGGCATTATATAACTATTGAAAGAAAGCACAGCATGTCAGAGAATGTGTGGCTGAAGTTTTCCATTATTTTTTCTGTTGCCTTACAGAGGTTTTTTGTTTCACTCCACACAGCCCATTTTCATCATATCATTGAACAACTTCGCTTTGGACAAGACACTGTTTTTGACATCCTAATTTGTGCAGGTAAACTGCATTCAGAAGCCTTACATTTGATGTAATGTCAACTAAAACTTCATCCCATCCTCATCTTTCAGCTTTTCAGTTTACTTACACCTCAGTTTTTGGAGTTTACACTGCCTTCATATTTATAAGGACGGGTAAGTATTCATGATACATATATAAGACAGCATACTTTGCCTTGTGTCTCACATTCTTAAATCCTAAAAGATTAGTTAATCAAAAAAATTGAAATCATGTTACTAAATGCTCACCCTCATGTCTTTGAGCTCTCTGATAAGTTCAGAAAAGGAACCAGATCATTGTCCACGTGACTTCATTGGTTTATCTGTAATCATACAAAGCTCCATGAACACTTTTTGTTTGTAAATCTTTTTTTATTTTGATCACCTATATCTTCTGTTCCCCATCTGATTACGGTGCAAGTTTAGCACAGGAAGTACAATATATTGCTATTACAGTCATCCACACGACATGCAAGCATTGTATCGCTTGAAGGGGGGACAAAATTGTTCTTGCAGCTTCATATGGTTAAAGATAAACCGCTGTCACATAGAATGTTTCAACAATGTTTTTGGTTTCTTTTGAATTTATCTGGACCATTGTGTTGCTGTATATGAAGAATGAGAGAGCTCTCAGATTTCATGAGGTCTCAGCCCACTTGAAAAAAATACTATAGTAACTTTTAGTAAACACTAGGGTTTTTAAACCAAGTTATAGTAAAGTACTTGAAATAATGTGTTAGGGTAATTCTAAAGCTGCTATAATAATACTCAAACAACTATCGTCATATAAACAAATTTGTAAAAACTGTAGAATTATATGACCATAGGTTGATTACACTACAATGCAACACAGTTTACTGTAGTAAAAACTAAAGTATACAACATCATTTATTATACAGTTAATCAGTTCAATATATTCATTCATTCATTTATTTTCTTTTCAGCTAAGTTCCTTTATTAATCAGGGGTTGCCACAACGGAATGAACAGCTGATTTATCTAGCATATGTTTTATGTAGCGGATGCCCTTCCATCCAACACTGGGAAACACCCACACACTCTTGCATTCACACACACTACAGCCAATTTAGCTTATTCAACTCATCTATAGCGCATTTCTTTGGACTGTGGGGGAAACCAGAGCACCTGTTGGAAACCCACGCCAAGACAGGGAGAACATGCAAACTCCACACAAAAATGGCAACTGACCCAGCAGGGGCTCGAACCAGCGACCTTCTTGCTGTGAGACGATCATGCTACCCACTGCACCACCGTGACACCCCCAGTTCATTATAGTTAATACAGACAAATAATATAACAAAAAGATTAACAAATTTTAGTAAATATGATTATAAATATACAGTCTAATACACTTTACAAAAGTGTGGCTCACAAACACCATAGGATTTACTATCAATTATAGTATGTTTTAATGTGGGTGGGGACTGGAACGACAAGACACCCCCAGTAATTAATAGCATCCATTTTGGTGAAGTAAGGCAAGGCAATTTAATTTTACAACACATTTCATACACAATGATAATTTATAAACAAGTAATCATTTAATGCCCAGGTCATCTTGTGGGACCCGTGCTGTGCCATTCGTTTTGCAACCGGATGGGTTTTCCAGCCATTGGCTCAGTTTTGGAGCATCCACAAAAGTCTTTGATCCTGCTCTTCTACCAGCTTGGTGTTCTGCTCTTCTTCATCCTCCTCTTCCCCTTCACAGACCCAACATTCTATGGTATGTCCCCAGTCTGCAGTCTACTGCTTACACCCCGCTCTGCCTGCACTTGACACTTCTTCATGCTACCTGGAAAGAAATGTACCAAAGAGTCTTTAAAAACATGACTTGGGCAGGAGATCCCTTCCTGAGAGCATGAGGAGTAAATGAACCGCGCTACTTTCATGCACAAGACTCAAACGTATCCCGCACATTCATCAGCCTTGATGCTGAGTTAATGACTGTCATGTTTCATTTCTTTGCCTTTTTGTGGTTATGCTTGTAGATTGGAGTGTGGCTTGCTTGATTTATTTTTATCCCGTAGTTCTCTTCCATTCAGTTAAAGAGCGGTTATCAGCTGTCTTGCTGTTAAATTAAAAGCAGATGTGATAGTTAATACATGTCAGAGATGAGTAGCATTTTCTGCCTTACATAAATCAAGGATTTTCATTTATATTGAGAACCATTATGTGTATTTATCAGTATCTGTCATGGTCCAGGGTGGCATGGTGGCTCAGTGGTTAGCACTGTCACCTCACGGTAAGAAGGTCACTGGTTTGAGTCCCAGCTGGGCCAGGTGGCTTGTCTGTGTGGAGTTTGCATGTTTTCCTCGTGTTTGCATGGGTGTCCTCCAGAGCTCCGGTTTGCCACACTTTCCAAAGACATGCGCTATAAGTGAAATGAATGAACTAAATTGGTGCTAGTGTGTGAATGTGAGAGTGTATGGGTGTTTCCCAATACTGGGTTGGAGCTAGAATGGCATCTGCTGCGTAAAACATATGCTGGAATAGTTGGCGGTTCATTCCACTGTGGTGACCACTGATGAATGAGGGACTAAGCTGAAGGAAAATGAATAAATATAAATTAATATTCTGTTTTATGATTATTTGTGTAAATGAAACTTCCAGGTTCAAAGCATGTTATTGTAAATGTTTTTAATTTACCGATTGCATTTAAAAAAAAGCTTATTTCATCCAAAAAGCTGTGATGAAAGAGGATTTATAGTCTGTAATGGTTGTTGTGTAAATGTAGTTCACAATTCTTGGTTCATCATCATGTTCAAAAGTTAAAAGGTTTCAGCTTTAATTAATATATACATCATTCAAGAATACATTGTTCAAAAAGAAAATCCAAGTTTATTGTTATAATTGAGTTGTTTAAAATAAATGAACTTTCTAATATTATTGTCCAATAGAATCTAATAAATCACAAATACACAAAAATATTAAGCTTTTGCTTAAAGGTTGATTTTATCCAGAGATGGCAAAAGTACACACATTCTTTATTCAAGTAGAAGTACAGATACTCATGTTTAAAATTACTCTGGTAAAAGCTGAAGTACTGACTACACTTTTGTACTAAAGTAAAAGTAAAGAAGTGCTTAAATAAAAAGTATTCATTACTAATACCTGTTTTAGTTTCACGGCGGTAACTACACTGCACATAATGTATACATCTATAAAAAAATAACTTACATTTCTAATTTTTTGTTAATTGTTTTTTTTTTTTTTTTGCCAATTGTCAGCTGCAAACTAGCCCAACAACATTATCGATAACAATATAGACTTTATTTACATCGCTTATGTTATTTAAATCAAAGATTTAAATGCATTACCATTGAAGAAGCACTTAACAAATGAGGTTAACCAGAAATCTTTGAGCGAGTCATTCCTAGTGAGTCAATTCATTTAAAAATGAGCCTCTAATAAAAAAATGTATGTTATTATAATGTTATAATTTGATATTTAGCATTTGGAAAAATTTGATAATTTAAATAAAAATAAATTGAAGGTTAAATATGACATCTAAGATGTAAATAGATAACATTTAAGAAAAACAGCATTTCAGTGTTAATAATGGGCTTTTGACAAACATACCAGTAAAAAAGTATGATTGTTAATGTTTTTTTCCGTGGTATTAGATTGAAAGATCAGAAAAGTACAGTTCACCATGATCGAAAGTGGACAAAAGACTTTAGCCCAACCCCATAAAAATGCAAGATTTGAACAAGAATCAGTCTCTTGTTTACCTGTGATCTGATCGTTAAGCTTAATAAACAAGCCTAATTATGGTGCATAATCAGAGGTTGAAAAAGCTGCGCACTGCATCGCGAATGCGCACAATAACCAAAAAATCTGATTAAATCAAACAGACGTCCAAATTGTGCAATGACAAGAAATAATATCCACATAGCAAAATTTCTCTGGCCCACACAATCAGGCTTTGCTTGGCCCACATGCTGCAGTGAACAAGTCTGGCTTCCAGACAAGGGCCAAATATAGACCATATCTGGGACAAGTCTCAGCCAAGTTAGTACCTCATAACTGAGCCTGAACTGGGCCAGAGAGGTTGGTGTGTCACAATTGCAATGAAATCGATTAACCCATCAAGCACTGTGCTTTAAGTGCACTATGTGCTTTTTCCTAAAGCGACCTGATTGGTAGAATTGTTTCTTTACTCAAAAATAATTTTAATGTATTTTAAATGTGGGTCAAGACAGGCCAAACTTACATTGGCCACATATCTATTTTTAACATCTGGACCAAACAATACATTTTACATCTGGCCCAAATCTTGTGTGTGCCGCCTTAAAAACAGTGCCACCTCTGCCAAACCCGGGCCATGTTTGGCCCAAATGCTGTATGCCACTGCCAGATGAATGCCTCCTGTGCCAGCTTTATGCCAAATCTGGGCCAGAATGCTTTGCTACCTTCCCATCTTTAATTATATCTGCTCATTTAGTGTTGTTTTCATAATAATAATTCAGAAGAAATTTGATGTCCTTTTGTCAGTTTTAGTTTAGTTTTTATTTATTTTTATTTGAGAGTTCAGATTTATTACTTTGTCTTGCACTTAATTTTGTTCAGTTATCAACAAAAGTTTCCTAATTCTTGTTCATTCATTAATTAATTTCCGTCCCCACAACGAATTGAACCACCAGATATTCCATCATAAATTTATGCAGCAGATGCCCTTCCAGCTGCAACCTAGTACTGGGAAACACACACTCATTCACACACACACTACAGCCAATTTAGTTTATTGAATTCACCTGTACCCCATGTCTTTGGACTGTGGGGGAAACCAGAACTTCTAGAGGAAACCCACGAGATCACAGGGAGAACATGCAAACTCCACACAGAAATGCCAACTGACCCAGCCAGGACTCAAACCAGCGACCTTCTTGCTGAGGCGACAGTCCTAACCATTGAGCCACCATGCCACTTCTTAATTCTTGTTTAAATACAGCAAAGTTAAATATTTAAATAATAGTAATAAAATGAATATTAACAATAAATGATTTTTTTCAATGAATTCAAATCTAAAAAATATTCTGCATCTTAATGTTTCCTTAAAATTTGAGCTCTTTTACTTTACTCTTATGATCATTCAAATACATTCCAATCAAACATCAGAGTTGCCGTTGTGCTCTTTTATGGTTTTGCTGTCTCTGTTTCTATTCAGTTCAGTCATGGTGATGAAGACCAGTCTGTTGGAGAACATCCCCTTAGAGACAAGCAGATAACTAAACAAACAGACACACAGAGGTAAAAAAAAAATACCTGGAAGTCTCAGTACAGTGCTCCCCATTTATGCACTACAGCTTTTCAAAATCTCTGGAGTTTAGTAGTCAGCATTGTGTGTCTTCCTTCTAACATGGCGTTCTGTCTAATTTGGCTTTGTTTGATCGTGATGCTCACTGATTTGACACCCTCCAAAATGTCAGTAGTGCAAAACATTTCCTGCAAGTACAAAATTTCCTGTGCTTTTATTTGCCATCCATCGTCTCAGGTCACAGCTCTACGAAATCTTCCACATGACCGCTCCTGCCAAACACACATTTCTGTGGAATGCTGGGATTGAAGGGTATGTGATTTCAAAGCATCTGGTGGGCATCAGCCACTGTCAGTCTTCCAATTATAACTGCTAATCAACACAGCAAACCGTTCAATGGTCAACAAAAGGATTTCCACAAAAAACAAACACAGGTTTTGAGTCTAAAACTGAGTACGTGTCAGCAGAGCTGCGCTGAGAATGAAAAACCTGAGCGCTCTTTTCTCCTTGGAGTGATCTGAATGGTTCTGCTCTGCTGAGGTAGGCTGAGGCTCCAGGAAACTTTAATTCCAGGGTCCTCCTGAGGCCTGCTGGAAACCCAAACGCAGCGTATCTGGGAGCCGAAACAAGAGAAGCTCCGTGGGATGCATTGGGGTGTCTGAGGTTTATTACCTTTGTGTAAACAAAATTGTTGCCCTTTGCTTTATCTACATTGACCCTCAGGTGTGAAGAACTTAAGAAATTCAGTAGCCAAGAGAGTTTATATGCTTCATATTGTAACATTTATTCCAGTGAACAGAATGGTTCACCCAGTTGTCAGACAGTAGGATTTTCCGTGATGAATTAACCGTCGCTCTCGGGAGCATTGGCTGACTTTTTTGTGGTCGGAGGCTTAATGCAATTTCGAGGGCAGCCATTGTGTTTTGAAACTTTGAAGCATTCCCTGGATGTATTGGCTCCTGGAACCCATGGTGATTGTTAATGTGTTCACCATTTGCCCGTTATATATTCACATATGTGTTTCATCGGCCTCATGTGAATATATGGTTTTCCACTGGCAGTGTCAATGACAAAACCGTCAGTGCTGGTGAAATATGGCACTATAGTTGGTGTATCCTGAAACCAAATATCGGTTTGTTTTGTGCACTGGTGATTTATTCGCCATTCTGCGTCGAAGGCGTTCTGTTTTTCCAATAACCACGAGGAGCTATCAGTATCCACCAACACAGAGGAGGAAAAATGGCTCGCTGTGCTGAACTGTAGCTCATTGTGTAATTACATGCAGTAATAAGAACGGCAGTCATGTTAAGCATATTAAGAACCTTCCATTGGAGGAACACATTGTTTTAATGATTGAAAAGTACAATATTGGAGTCTGGTTGAGGTCAGCGGGTTGCCTTCGGCTATAGACAGCCAGAGATCATGGAAATAACGAGAGTTTTGACATCATGACTCTTTCTCTCCCCTATTTCCAGACCTTTTCTGCTTTATTGGTCTCTTTTGCAGCAATTTCACAGACAAAATATGGAATATCTGATCATCTTTTAATTCATTTTCCACTTCACGCTGCTCAAACTTGCCCTTTCTCCCTCATAAGCAGGTGTCAGCTGGGCTTCATCGGACTGTCCTTTATGTTTATTATCAAGGTGAAGAGTTAGACATTGATAGACCTGCAATCCCCATTAAGGGATATGATCATCACTTTTGGAAAGCCAAAGTAAACTTTGCACAGATGCTTGTGCATTGACTTACAGTAGATTTTTAGGATCTAATGGCATTACAGTTTGCTCCATGACAAGAGAGGAATTTAGCGTTTTAGCATTGTTGCACTGTAAAACCCAACAGTCTACTTTATCAAATGAAACTAGAGAAGTAAAGTTCGTAGACAAACTTCATGGTGACTTGAAAAGAGCTTCATTTGAAAATTTGAAGTGTAAAAGTTTAAATAATTGAAGTAGTTTTTAGACAGTTTGAAACACTTGCACAGATAGATAACTATATATAGGCTAGCATGTTTCAAGCATGGTTTGCCTTGTTTCTTGCTAGGTGGTTGTTAGGGTGTTCTAAGTGGTTGCTAAGGTGTTGCAAAGGTGTTCTGAGTTGTTGCTAGGTCGTTGCTAGGGTGTTCTCTGTGGTTGCTTAGGTGTTGCTAGGGTGTTCTGAGTTATTACTAGGCGGTTGCTAGGGTGTTTTGGCTGTTTTTTAAGGTGTTGCTTGGCAGTTGCTAAGGTGATTTGAGTGGTTGCTCGGCAGTTGCTATGGTGATCCAGGTAGTTGTTAAGGTGTTGCTAGGTGGTTGTAAGGTATTCTGAGTGGTTGCTAGGTCGACCACTGAGCGATTGCTAAGGCTATGCTAGATGGTTGTTAGGTTTTTCTGAGTGGTTGCTAAGGCATTGCTAGAGTGTTTTAGGTGGTTGCTTGGGTGGTCTGAGTGGTTGCTAAGGTGTTGCTAGGGTGCTCTAGGTGGTCGCTAAGGTGTTGTAAGGCAGTTGCTAGGGTGTTCTGAGTGATTGCTAGGTTGTTGCAAAGGTGTTGATAGGTGGTTGCTAAGATGTAGCTAGGTGATTGCTAGGGTGATCTGAGTGGTTGCTAGGCATTTGTTATGGTGTTCTAAGTGGTTGCTAAAGCATTGCTAGGGTGTTTTAAGTGGTTGCTAAGATGTTGCAAGGCAGGTGCTTTGGTTTTCTGAGTAGTTGCTAAAGCGTTGCTAGGGTGTTCTAGGTGGTTGCTCCGGTGTGGCTAGGCGGTTGCTAGGGTGTTTTAAGTAGTTGCTAAGATGTTGCTAGCTAGTTGCTAAGGTGTTCTGATTGCTTGTTAGGTGGTTGCTAAGGTGTTGCTAGATAGTTGCTAGGTTGTTCTAGGTGGTTACTAAGATGTTGCTTGGTTGCTAAGGTGTTCTGAGTGTTTGCTAAAGTGTAGCTAGGTAGTTGCTACAGCGTTCTGAGTGGTTGCTAGGCAGTTGGTAACATATTGGTTGCAGTAAGAATTAGCATGTTGGTAACTTTCTAGCATAAATTAGCATGTTGTTAGCATGGATCTAATGTGAATTAGCATGTCGCTAGCATGTTTCTAGTATAAACTAGCATGTTGTTATAGTGAATTAGTATGAATTAGCATGTTGCAAGTATGTTTATAGAACGAATTAGCATGTTGCTAGTATGATTAGTATGTTTGTTAGTCTGTTTCTAGTATGTATTGGTATATTGTTAGTATGGATTGGTATGTTGTTAGTATGTCCAATCTAAAGTCAATTACAGTTTTTTACAATGGAACCCTGCTGAAAAATCCAGCTTAAACCAGCCTAGGCTGGTTGGCTGGTTTTAGCTGGTCGACCAGGCTGGTTTTAGAGGGGTTTTGGCCACTTCCAGGCTGGTTTCCAACCATTTCCAGCCTGGTCTTAGCTGGTCAGGCTGGGAGATGACCAGCTAAAACCAGCTTGACCAGCCTTGCCAAGCTGGGAGTCCAGCCAAAACCAGCTATATCCAGCTTAAACCAGGCTGGTCAAGCTGGTTTTAGCTGGATTTGGCTGGTCATTTTCCAGCCTGACCAGCTAAGACCAGGCTGGAAATGGTTGTAAACCAGCCTGGAAATGGCCAAAACCCCTCTAAAACCAGCCTGGTCAACCAGCTAAAACCAGCCAACCAGCCTAGGCTGGTTTAAGCTGGATTTTTCAGCAGGGAAGTGTATGGGACAGTTGCTAAGGTGCCATAAGTGGTTGCTAGGGAGTGTCTAGTAAACTGAAAGGTAATCAGTGATTGGCAGATTGGTAGTCTAAGTAAAATTAGCCCAACCTAAGTCTGTATGATAGTCTGGCGCAAAGTTATGAAGTCACAAAGTTTGGTCCAATGAATTTTAAAGGTCAGTTTTCAGAAAACCATAAGTCAAATCAGATAGAAAAGATAAGCAACCCGGGTCAAACCAGTTTGGCGGTTTGGTGTTAGTTTGGTGGTTGTAGTATGAACGGTCTAGCAGGAGATCCATATAGAAATTAGTCTCAGAAGAAGAAGAAAAAGAAGACAGGAGAATAATAAGTTTATATAACAAAATGTTGGCTTTCTCAAGCCACCATAATGAGTGTAGTTATCTCAAAATTTACTGATAGTTAATTCTACTCATTTGAAAAGAGTTTTGAACTCAGTGTTGAAAGTAATGAGTTTTTTTTAATTACCTCATTACTTCAGCTTGAATGGAGTAAGTTCACAGTACTCATATAGATTAGTTTAACTCAAATGGTTTTGTTGCAATCGGTTTCCTCAAATGGTTTGCGTTGGCCTGACTTATTGGGTTTAACAGTACTCAGTTGGTTTGAGTTCTCTTCATTTATCGGTTTTTACTGTGCTCAAATTGCGTCGTTTACTCAAATGGATTAAATTCACAGTACTCATTAGGATTAGTTTTTAAACTTAAATAGTTTGTTGCAATCGATTTCCTCAAATGGTTTGAGTTACTTTAACTTTTTGGGTTTCAGTGTGCATGTCTTCCTCTTGTCCCTATGTGTACATCAAACACACAAGTGGACACAGGGGATTTAATTTGATTTAAAAGGGAAACATTGTTCCTCTTCAAAGACAACAAGGGGAGGTTTTCGGTGTAATCCCAGGAAGGCCACGATTTCCTGTGTGTGAGCAGGAGATGTTATTTTTAAAACTATTTTTTGCACAGATCCTGATCACTTTCAACTTTTCTGCCTCACCAGCATTTTCTTGTTTTGTTTTTTATAAAAGAGCCAAAATAAATGTAGCATTTCTGTTATAAATGAAAAAGTGGAGCTTTCTGAGCCTGCCATCCTCTTCCTCATTTTCCATATCAGATTACGTTGAATTCCACAAAACCAGCAACATTCCATTCACAGATTAACATAGTGTGCTTAACGCAGACCATACATTCGACGATATGTGTTTTGCAAAAAAAAATGATGTGGATAGTCATTTCTCTTTAAACATGGATAACTGGAACTAATTAATGTTCTCTAAGATGTGGCTTTGTCTTCAAACCATCCACTCCACAATGTTAAACGGGCTGAATAAAACAACAAAAAAATCTGTTTGTTGTGTTGTGTAGATATGTGGCCCTTCCAAAGACCTGGAAGAAATTCAAAAATAAAAGACAGTTTAGATGGTGTGAGTCCTTGCAAATATCTTCTTAATGGATACAGGCCAAAAGGTAAAAGTAATTGAGTCACCTTTTCTCAAGGTGAAAAGTCCTTGGACGTGCATTCAGCTAAATTCGTTTGCCACGTGGTCTTGACTAATAGTTTCAGGATGTCTAATGAATGATGAAGCGGTTGCTGCCTCCAGCTCAGAGGCCGCTGTAGGGTCGCGCTCGCTCGAGAGCCGTTCTGCTTTGAGTCAATAAACAAATGATGGAACCAATTAAATCCATACGCACATGCTGAATGAACTCAACACCTTGTTTTTGTAAAACTCATTATCATTGGATGACACAAACTACCTCAAGGTAATGTCTGAGGTACTTTTGAGTTAAAGAAGCTAAAGGCAATAACCAAGCCTTAACCAAACATTTTCAATGTCCCACCTGTTTAAGAATGATATATACCAGCAGTGCAGGCAATTGTAGAACAAAAGAGTGGGATGCCTAATCTAGCAAGAGGGATTAAGGCCTAAAACAAAACCTTAGATCCTGCAGACCAGTCAGATTACCTTTATTTCTATAAATGCTTTCAGCCTGACCTCACAAGAAAACGTAAGTATTTTATGTTTTGTCAGTTTAGTGGCTAAAGCCCTGCTAACATTGTGAGATTTCAGCCACTATTTGGTCATCTGAGACAAATTTGGAAAATCTTAATAAAGGATTCCTGAAATTCTAGGCTAAAATCAGTGATCTTTGATCGTTGGTTTGACATGTACACTTACTACCCTGCGATCAGATTTTTCCTCCGCTGAAGTTCTGGCAGTGTCAGAAGATTTCAGACACTTTCCTGCAGTGTGACAACAGCTGTGATGAGCGTCAATCCAAGAACCAATAGGAGCTCCAGAATTGATGACGCGATATATTCGTCAATTCAAATGACCGCGGAGAAATGTCAAAACTATTTTTTTCATGCTGTTGTCGCTACAAATTGTTTATGTTTGTTGTGAGGAATCAGTTCGGAACATGGGATAATGAAAGCGTCACGGGTGAATGACGTCAAAATCGTATTTACTGTTGTTCAACCTGACTTCATAACAGCTGAGATCTTACAGTGTGATATGGGAGCCATGTTTGTGCAGTCTAACATGCTAAAAAAAAATCGCAGTGTGAGCCAGCCTTAATTCGTACAAATTCAGTCATACGAAAATGTATGATTTTAAAAAGGAGGCGTGGCACCCAACCCCACCCCTAAACCCAACCATCACTGGGGGATGAGCAAATCATGTTAAATTGTACGAATAATATAGTACGAATTCATATGAATTATCCACTAAATCAAAAAGTTAGGAATTGCCGTGAGATTGCGTTGAGTGCTTTACACTTCTCCAACTGTGTTAAAGCAGATTTACATAGTTGAAGGGGCAATGAATAGGTCAGGTACAACATTTTCATCATTGTGAAAAAAAATTAATATGAAGGAAGAGACAAAACCGCAGTTAGAAGTGCACAACTGGCTTAGTAGAGCTCAATGAGCATCCTTCTTGGTATAGGTGCAGGTCTGGAATGTGTTCTATGTGGACATGGGGATTTATGTACAAGACAATTCATCAAGATTTTTGCTGAAGATCAATCCTTGCGGCTCATATCATCATGGTTTGTTTACAAAGGGAGATCTGGAAAGACAAAAATCCAAGGCAGAGTCAGGGAGGTTGGACACCAAAGTGAACCTGTAAATCTGAAGACCCAGAGTGATGCCATTTGTCCCAAGGGCCATATCTGAGTCAGGGGATCCGAGGACCAAGGTGGAGTTGCAGACTTGGAAGGCCAAGGCGGAAGCATAGCAAAGATAGAGGAGCTTGATGGACCTGACTGACTAGAGCCAAGAATTAGGCCCCTCATGAAGTCAGAAAAATGACCACCATGGCCAGAAAAAAGGCCACGGTGTGGGAGGGCAGAACTAATGGCTCAAAGTGCAGAAGTAGAGTCATGGTTTTGGAGGAATGAAGTGACCCTCATAAACCTTTG